ATAGTTGGAAAGTGATGAGCAGTGCCTGGTTTCTTACAAACATCACATGTTATTCTTGTTTCATTAGACAGTGACCATCAGGTTCTTGGTCACCTCCCTGACCAAGGCCCTTTTCCCTCCATTGCTCAGTTTGGACAGGTGGGCAGCTCTGGGAAAAGTCCTGGTATTTTTTTACTTTTTTATTTCCTAATCATGGAGGCCACTGTGCTCTTTGGGACCTTCAATGCTGCTCCATTTTTTTGGATCCTGTAAGATTGATAATTCTAAAAAGCTAACAATAATAATAATTAGCAACAGCCCTTCAGGTCACAGCAGCAGAGGTGGAGTAGCCACTGGGTGGAGCAGGACATTTTCTCTGCTCTAGTCCAAAGTAAAATGCAAAATGCTTCATTAGCATTTTTCAAAACGTTAGCATTCCTCCAGTGGATTTTTGCCTGATCCGCTTGGTTGGGACCATGAATCCTCTCTGCTCTGGTCTGGACCAGTGTAAAACTATGAACACTGTAGCAAAAAGCAATGAAAATAAAAATTGTAAGGTACATAACACCAACTGTTTCAGTACTTACTTACTTACAAAAAAAGTAGCAAACAATACTATTAAAATGGAGAGGGACTGGGTTCGGACCATTTTCTCTGCTCTGGTCCAGAGTAAAATGCTGAATGCTTTGTTCGCCGTTGTCCTAAAATTAGCATTCTGCCACTGGATCCGCTTGGTTCGGTCCATGAATCCTCTCTGCTCTGGTCTGGATCAATGTAAAACCATGAGCACAGTACTGCAGCAACATTTCAGGTAGAAAAAAAGCAAGAAAAATAACTATTGTAAAGAACAAAACAACAACTGTGTCAGAGCTACTTAGGACTTGCTTTCCAGCACATTCAACAACAAAAAAGATCCAGAAATAGGTATTATTCAAGATGGATAAATAGATGAAAATGACATTCAATGATCAAATTAAATATAACAAAATTGTTGTTTTGTAAAATGTTGTATTCTATTTTACAGATTTACCTTTCTTTCTGCACTAATTAAAGTTCTATTCAAATAATACAAAATATTCATTACTAAAGTTCCTACATTACTAATAATTACTCAAACTATTTCCATAATCAATGAATTGGCTTAGGACTAGAAGAAATGTCTTGTGCATCAATCAGTTAAGTAGAAGTGGGTGATGCTATTGCGACTAAATATTGTATTGTATTATAAATGTCATTGCATATAAAAATAAATCAAATTCACTGACCTTTTGTGAACTAATCTAACTGATGAATTAATTGAAAGCAGTATGGTGGATAGATAGCTTATGGCCTACGCAGGTGAATAACCTACAGAAGTGTTCTATTCTTGTCCCCAAGCTCAATCTACTATGCAGAATAAACACTGAAGGATAATGTTTTATAAGTGAATTATGTTAGATTGACACAACAAGCACATTGTTGTTAAATATGATGATCAGAATCAGAATCATTTGTATTGCCATTTAAGTATGGCTGACTAGGAACATTTCTTTGGCTCGGTGCAACAGAGAAGTAAAGAATAGATTAATAATACAAATCAGCATACACCTCTAAGGTATAAAAGGTTTATGTTAAAATATTGTGTCTGGACCTTTGGGTGCATGAGCACCTAAAAAAGATTACTTGCAAGGTTTTTTGTTTTCTGTAAAAAATGCAAAAAATATGTAATTTTGCTCTCATGTGGAAAAGGACAGTCTCTGAGGGCAGTGTGAGGCTGCCGCAGCCTGGTTAAATGAGTCTGTGACCCGTGTGGACAGCAGCTGGAGAGCAAGAGTTTGCTCTGCAGCACAGATCATCAGCAGGACGAGTGCAGAGAGAGAGAGAGACCTTCAGAGCAGCAGGAGGAGGGGGCCTAGATCCTGGGGCCCAATCATATCCCAGAGTGCGGCCCAGGCCCCTGCAGTGGAGGCACAGCAGCACTCACATCTTGGACACAGAGCAGTTCTCCCGTGCTTAACCCTTGGCGGGCGCTCCCTGGCCCTCATGTGCTCATCACCACACTAATCAGAGGCAGAGAGGGCAGCTGCAGGGAGCCCCTCTCCTCAGCCGGGCTCAAGAGCCTGTTATCCACAGTAAGAGCAGTGCAAATACAGAGCTTAGTGTTCTCAACAGGGCTGCCAGCACCCACATGCCTGCCGTGGCCGCTCCTCCCTTTGTGGCGCGTTTAGCTCGATCGCCCGCACACAAAGCAGTTAATGCACTCCTTTGTGGGACAGTTCTCCTTGTCATCTGTTCATTTACCGTCCACTCTCAAGTGGCCACAGGTGAACGGAGAATTTAAATAAGACTATGACAAAGGTCGCACAATAAGTAAGTGATCTGGTCTTCATTCATTAAGAGTGATCAGGCCACACTCAAGCGGCTTGATAACTAAATATATTCATAAGTAAATATATGAATGCTCTAATGAATTCTGACCCTCACTCAAGAATAGTTAGGTATAGGGATTTAAACGTTCTGCTGATTGTTCAACATTGTTCAATTAAGCTGCTCCAACTAAATTACTTCTCCAAAACTAGTATTTACTATACATGGATCTTCACTTGTGACAAGTTGATAGTAAATCAGAGGTGGCCTCGAACAGTGGATTGTAGGGATACTGCACATGTGAGAGCGGTCTGCAGCTCAGCTGAACCATCGGGCATCAGCACTGGCTAGTATGGTGCTCTTACAAACCCCTGCATATACATGGATATGCATATATGTTCGGGTGTAAGCCACAATCAAATCCTGGAATACAATTTTGAAACACTGAGTAAAAAGACATTCCCCCCTCACCAGCTGAAGATAAATGTGATAAACAGTCTCCTGCTTTAGGTCAGCTATTTTGACCATCCATCCATTTTCTTCCCCTTAATCCATTTCTTGGTCGGGGGGGTGGCAGTCAGAGCTGCACCCAGTACACAGAGCACCAGCCCCTCACTGATCCTCCTGCAGGTGGTGAGTCCACAGAAGCCTTGATTATTCAGCGAGGGCTTCAGGCAAAGTGGGGTTAAGTGTCTTGCCCAAGGACACAACTACAGCAGCCATTAGTGGGAGTCTTGAAGTAGGTCTTTCGGTGGGCTCGAACCCACGACCTTCAGGCTCTAAGGCCAATGCTCTACCAACTGCCCCCTGCTATGGGGGCTATTGTGACCAAGATTATTATTGATTATTATTATCTGACCGAGTAAAGTCCAAGTAAAGTCAGCTCCACAAAATATTGGGATATTGGCACAATGCTGATATTTTTGACTCTACTGAACACCACCACTACATGTATTTGAAATTAAACATACAATATGTGGTTTAACTGCAGAGTGCAGCTTAATTCGAGGGTATTTACGCGAGTCAAGTGGACAGTGTAGGAATTATTGCATGTGAAGCAGCATCAAATCATTTCTCCATCTCTTCCCAAACAAGTTTATCTGTCTATAGTATGCAGCTGCGTTAACAATGCAAATCTATGGGGACGCGTGTTTGGACGTCACAACATTAATATTTATCTATGGTCGTCTATGGTCACAACACCAGCAACTTCCAAAATCAATGCCAGTACTGGACCAGGAAACATTATGGCTGTCCATAGTTGTCTACTGCTCATACTGTATACTGAGACTAGATTAAATTACTCTGGGGAGGGTTTGCCAGAAGTCCCACTTGGTGCAATGGTCGTCAGTGAGGTAGCAATGAACAACAATTATTTCCACACATATGCACATACATTTTTCATTGGTGCGAACATCTCCCTAAAAACCTTTAAACAACAGGAGGAGCATAAGGATATGAAACACTTGTGCATCTAGTTTACACAAGCTGCACAGAACAGTCACAAAACAAACTCCGCACTGCACACATCACAGTGGTTGCATTTGATTTGATACAGAACTGAAATAGCAGCATGGAATCTGCAGTTAGGATCCATGCATGTGAAGCAGTTTATAAACGCAGCAGCCGCTTCATGCACAACACTGCAATGAAAACTTCAATCACTTGTTAAGTTTGACTTAAGGGTTATCTCATTAACTCCAAGTGCCATACGTACCTTTTCTCTCACTGGGACACACAGTAAACACACATTTTGTTTGTTTCACATTTCACAAACAGGAGAAGTCTTTTGATGCCTCTGACTGTATGTGTTTTTCAAGAATGAACTACACTGTTCTGTAATAAAACAGATCTGTGGATGAGTTATGGTAGAAAGTACCCATTATAAAATATAATATTTACAAAAACACAAACGCCTCTTGTCCTAACACTGTTGCAATTCACTGAAGGCTCAAATATCTTAAACACAAAGACAACCTCACAGTTTAATAGCCTAGAGTTTGGTCCAAAAACTTACATTAGTTGTTGGCTTGCTGATTGTTTTGTTACTCACTGCCAACATCACAATGTCCAAAAACGATTTCTGCAGTATTGAGTGATAGTGACAGAGCCAGTGCAGTCTCTGTAGCCCAGCTTTGACATTGCAAGCAACACTTTTATGTTGTCTGTCAAAAATATGAAATAAATCAATGCTTGACAGCATTACATAAAGAGCCTTTGTGTGGCAGTGCACGCCTGTGTACTTTTGTCTGAAGGGAGTACGAAGTCAGGCTGAGGAACCATTGCTGTTCAAAACAATATGAGAATACCAGGAGCAAAGTGCTTATGTTGTCTTTCCCAAAGTCACTTTAGAGGGACTCTGTAAACACCACTTCATACAGTTCATCCATTTCACAATGCAAACAGCTGCCCTTGTAAATGCTTCTATCCAATTCAGCTGACATTGTCAACCAAAACCAAGGTTTGATTGGTGGAACATGGCGCAATTTACATCTTAACCACCCAATTCATTCAGAAAAATAGCAACATAATAAATAAATACAGGAGATTCAAATGTGACAAACTTCAAATATATTGTAATTCTAGGGCCCAAATATTATTGACACACATCTACAGCTTGAAATCCCTCGATGAAGAAGACAAAATCATTGCATTGTGTGCCATGGCCTGTCAACATGGTTTCGTCTATTCAACTCTCCAGCATCAGGGCCAAGAGCAGGTGTCTCCAGGAGCCAGTGCGTCTGCCCACAGACCTTGGACACTTGAGCCTGGGTCCTGCTAATCCAGAGCCGCAGCCCGGAGTCCTCCAGGAGAGGATCAGCATGGATGCCCAGGCTGAACAAGTAGGTCTTTGAGGAGCCCTGTGCCAGTCAGATGGAGAGCTCCAGGCCCCAGCTGTAGGGGTTAACCTCTCCCACTGCCAAGCAAAATACTGCAAGAGGTTTGCAATTACACAGACAGGCAAAGGCCACACGCAATTTCCAGAGATATTTCCACAGTTAGAAGGCCCCCTCCAGACCCGCCAAGAACAAGCAGAATTAGGTTGGTTGAGAGGCAAGGTAGGATTTACCATACCTTTTATTCCACGACAAAGCAGCCAATCAGTTACTCTTGCTGTCTTTAGAGATCAAATCTAAAGAAAATCTTTTCACAAGGCGAACCTAGGACAATAAAACTGATTAGTGCGTCCAGAGTCCCGAGACTCAGAGAAGAACTATAAGTGCAGGCTATAAGATAATGGTTGTTTTTTGTCCAATAAAAGTTCTGAATTATCATAAAAACTCAAAAACAACTCTGGAACATTTGGAGGAAGCATTTGTAATGCTTGATGAAACTGTTTTGCATGTTGTGTAGAAAGCTATTATACTATTTCATGTCCATCCTGAGCTCCACCTTGCCTCACATGCAGCGTGTCTGAGAATAGTTAGTGGTGGCTGGGGCGGGTGCAGCGGTGCTCCCAGGGGATGAAGTAGGTGCAGGGGCCTCACCCACACAGCTGCTGCACAGGTCCAGAGCCTCTCCAGAACCCTTCTGGCTGCCCGGGGGTACGCACCACTAATAATAACAACATCCAACATACGAGTCCGGGTCAGACGAAACTGTGACCCTCCCCATCACAGCGCTACAGCCTGGACAGGAGCCAGACTGGACCTGTGCAGCCTGGGAGAGCAGTCCAGCTGTGGGTGGTGCATTCTCCAAGGGCTGCTTTCACTTCCTGAGCCCCATGACTGGGCCTGAGTGGGGGGAAGCATGGGGAAGCATGGGGGACACTCTTCTCATACACTCTCCAGGTTAAATTTGGACCCTCTGAGGTGGTGGAACCGGTAGATTTGAAAAAGACAGCAAACCCTAGATGATAAATGATGGATGTCATTCCTGGGAAGGATAATGTTCTGATAGTAAACGGCTCACTGTGGGCAAAATAGCATTGAGGTGAAAGCATTCTGCCTCTCAGCACCTGCATTTCAGTGGTTCACCCACACAGAAGCAGCCATGGAACAGAGTTGAGTGTCTTAAATGACAGCACAAAGCAATATGTCCAAACATTCCACACTTTAATCTATTTACAACAAAAACCATGTAACCAAAGTAGAATGATAAAACATATACATAATCCAATTGTCTCGAGTCCAATGGACCTAAAGACTGATATTGACTACAAATTAGAATGTACATTATTATATTTAATTAAGTTACAGCCTTCATGTGGTAAATAATAATGTATAATGATGCATAACAAAACAACACAGAGGTTAAAAAGTTAGTGACAACTAGTTCCGCACAAATAAATGATAGTAAATACTGTATCTTACAAGCTGCCGCATTAGCACTACACAGAACCTGCTCTGTGCATATGCTCACAGAACAAACAGACTTGGGTCTTACAGGTCATGCAGCGGTGTACGGCTGCGTTCTCACACTCTCCACTCAAAGGGGGAATACTTGGCCCTAATTAACGCCGAGCATCTGGCAAATGTCAAAGTGTGTCTGTGTGCAGAATTCCTATTTACTTTGGGAGCCTGGTTCAGCTGCGGAAAAACGATGAGAGCTACAGAGAGAGCGCAGGGTCCTGGGAGTGTTTTGGTGCTGTGTTCTGACTGACACATGTGAAATGCAATAGCATTATTGTACACAGATCAGGCTAGCCTAGCGTTTCTTCTAGCAGGTTGTACAACCCACGACAACGTATCAATTACTGTGTTTGTGAAAGAAAAACAGTCGCCGTATGGATTTGTATAATTCTGCTGCCACTTGCTACTGATTCGTCATCAGCAAAAGAACAAAATCACACCTCTGTGGAGTTTCTTGTAGCGACGCTGTCTACATTTATTAGGCAAATCATGCTTGGTGAAAAGGATAATGTTACCTGTCTGTGCACCCTCCAGACAAATAATATTTTACAAGCAATTTTCAAGGCAGAGGAGGAAGGAAGCACGCCTAAAGCAGGGTAAAGTGTGAGGAGACAGAGAAAATATACAACACTAACAAGCAAAGATCATGTTATTAAGATTTTGTAAGAACATTGCACATAATGTTTATTGTACTTTTTTTTATTTAGAGAGGAAAAAAACAAATCCTAAATATCTTTATTCTATTGTAGCTTGATGGCGTGAAACAGACACTTCACTTTCACTTTTTCTACTGGTAAGCCTCTGTCATGGTCTGAATGAGACAATTAGATTTACTCAATCACAATAATGTAGGAACTCTCAGGTTAAGAATTGAAGAGGAGAAGCAATCTTCAAAATGACTAATGAAACCTTTCTTCAAACCTATATCTAAAGGGTCAAATCTCCAACTATTATCATCATCAATATTAACGTAAACAACACTCTCAAAAGGAGGAGGTGCAACTCAATTACAGACACTGTCATTTGCTGTTGTTATGCAGAACTCAGCACAGGGCCACAGCTAAAGAGAGAGTCAAAAAACAAACAATGAAATCTACTACTGTCCTATTACTACTGATTATAACCATCAAGATTGCATGATTTATAGGCTGAATACAAATTGAATTGACCAGCTCTGTGTCTAACCAAATCTAACCTGAATTTTCCTGATAAGACAGTTCACAGCAGTTCACTCCACTCAATATAAACAACCAGAAGCCAGTCCTGGTCGACGTGATGGCTGGTGCGATGTCCGAGCTGACAAGATTACACAGTGGGCTTCCTGTCTCCTCCACCCGATACTATCTTGGACCAAGTTCTAGTTCCAAATCTTTCCTTTTCGGCTCCACTGCGACAACCTCAGCACCAATTACTGCGTAATGGGACTATTTTAATTGGAAAACTACATCTAGCAGCGCACATGTTCATCCAACGGCTCATTTGAGAGATTAATACCAGGCAGTCCCCACGGTACGAGTCAGGGAGGCCATTCATGTGCAGATTGCAACACAAAAAGGCAGTCAGTGGTGTTTGATGTTGACTACAAATAACTAAAGAGTCAGTATATTTAACAGCTCAACTTCTTTTCAGTGTTGCAGCCTTGTAAGACAGTGAGCAAATTGAAACCGAATGTCACAGCGGGCCTCATTTATGAATAGACCTGATAAAATGCAGTATTAAAGCTGTTATAAAAGGCTGTTTGTGCTTTCTATCTACGTTTCAAAGCTATTTTAGTTGGTATAGATTCTGTTTCTTCAGTTTCATATTTAGTTATTTTGATTTTCATGATTAGGAGAACCAGGGCCATACTGGCCGAGTTCTCTGGTAATGTTTGGAACCTAATTTACCCCAAGAATAATTTTCAATAAGGCAAGTGAACTTTTGGTCACTGTTAAAAAAGGGGAAAAAAACATTATCATTAGCTTCCAGCCATCCATACATCCATTTTCTTACGCTTTATCCGATGCCGGGTCATGGGGAGGTCCAGCAGTCTAAGCAGAGATGCCCAGACTTCCTTATCTTATTTGTTTTACCTTACAGATCCATCACTTCAATTGGCCAAAGTGATCTAGCTTAATCATCCATGCGTGGCACCCATAGACTGTGTTGCACCTGTACTGGGAACTTTGCGCCAAAACTATCACAACTGCGCACTTTGCATCAAATCTACTGTTACCGTATCAGCTCAAGATCTGCGTCAGTCCCCGGCAGAACCACAATCTCTGCTTTCCGACTTACAATTAAAGTACGTCAAACTTGTGTGTCTTTAAGCAGTGTTTTGGCCGTGGCTGTCAGCTCATCAAAGCGTGCGTTAGAGAGTCGTTTATGCGGAGAAAAGCACTGGGTTTGGTCCACACTATGGGACTACACTCACTGGCCTCGGGCTGTGTGGACAAAGGACACGTGATGAGAGTAGATGCTGTGTGGATGGTGCGTAAGGAGGGCCAAACCTGACTGGCACGCTCTCCCATGGGAACTTACTGATCAGGTATCAGGTTGTTGGGGGCCCTTCACAGCGGCCCGGGCCCCTCTCCAAAAGCTTGACAGCGCGCCTCAGCCCGGAGATGCAAAGGCGCCATAAGGTAATACAGTAGCGCAAATGCCAACAGGTGAAACCCAATCCCAGAGGCCAGCCCAGTACAGTTGTAGACAGCTCCTGTGTTTTGTGTGCGCCAATATGCACGATTAAACATGCCAACACAGGATTCAGATGACCACTGTGCTCAGGTCTGCAGCCGTGACGTCCTCTCCCTATATTTCTTCATTATGCTCAAGTCAGAGATTTTAAACTTGATTCTTGCTTCTTCCTTATGCTGAAGTTATAGATTTTATTTTGTTTTAATAAATCTTATGTTGTGCACGTCTCATTCTGCACTGTTGTGTAAATGGTAATGCAAGACTGAAATTTCCCCACTGTTGGACGAATAATTAATCTCTTCACCTCAATTATGTTATCTTAAAAAAAAAAATCCTTTATTTAATACATTCAAAAATCCATGTACAGATAGAAACATTCTAGACAGCCATTATTGTATTATAGATGTGTGCTTTTACTTGGAAAGGACTTTTAATACGCTTAATATTTTGTTTATGTTGCTTTACTTTCCATTTTATTGGTGAAAATCTATACCTAGTTTGCACCTGAGAGGCAGAAATCCACAAATGGCCTAAGAAACAGTCATAAAATGACTAAAATTACTTTGTTGAAATGTATAGAAAACGGGTTGGTTTTGACAGTTTCACTGACACCAGTAATCAATATTATAATTATCTATATTCAAAGGATTGTGCTGAGGATTAGGGCTGTTTACTGGTACACATTCAATAGGATTTCACTGCTCCATCATTGCTACAAATGTAACCATAATAATTATTCACATGAAACAACCTCTTTTACAACTGTAAAATATATTTTTCCTTTTAATTCCACAGTGACCACAGTGAATCCGAATTAGCTCAAAGTGACAGCATCGTTCACTGATTAAGGGCTTGGACACTGACAGAAGAGAAAATAAATTATACATATTTCAAATTATTATGAAAATGGATAGGTCTGGACATTGGGGAGTAGACTAGATTTACTATACAAATTTACCAAGCTGAAATATGTTCACCTTCATAATACATTTCCTGCGCTGCACAGCTTTAGGAATCTCCAAGGTGCGTCGACTAAACAAAATTGTTTAGTAACTAGTGTGGCTTACATACGTGATGTTTCACAACAATACAAATGGAATCCTCCATTCATAAAGGAAGATTCTAGTTGGTCAGTAATTTTAAGATTATGAATGTATACTTTGTATGTGCCTTCATCAAAATTTCATATGATTTAAATAACATTTACAACAGGATGAGCAGTGAAATGCCCAATATGCTGCACACTCACAGCACAAAACTACAGTGAGGAGGCCCCTTGTGGCCACAAGTGGATTCAATCAATTTGAATTATGTGAAGAGTTCTATGGTTTTGTCTTGTTTCAAGTGGAGATGAGCAAAATTGAAAATTGACCTGGCAGCCTTCATTTAGTGACAATGTGCTAAAGCATGATGGATAGTCATCACAGTTATCTGCACAAGCAGGGCAATACTGGGGCACAAAGGTTTTCAATTGGAAACTGGAATGCTCATTAGTGCCACTCTCAACACTCAGCAATCAGAAGTTGCATTAGCCATAAGAGGGCAAAATTACACCTCACCAATACAGTACATAAAACACATACTGGGAATGAGTTAATCAGGTCAGCTTCAGAACAGCAGTGAGTAATGCACTGAATAAGATAACCTTTTTAAAAACTGGACATAGATCTCTAAAAGGACCTTTAATAGGCAGTTTTTCACCTTATACAATGGCACCATGCAGTTCAGAAGTGGAGTACAATATAGAAGATATCTAGCACACATTATGCAATATCAAAGTTGTGTTTTTTGTAATAAACAAAAAATATAATTATTGCCCACCTTCAAGTAAATTAAGCTGAAAAATGTGCCTTTACCTCAATTTAACAATTTGTAGTGAAATGTAAATTATGGGACAATTTTGCGTCTGAAATACCTAAAAAACATTTCACTTACTGTACACAAACAATTCATTTAGTTTGAAACATAGATTTTTGAAAAGGGCTTCCATGTCCATATGAGTGTAGCAGAAATAACGAACTGTTGAACCTCACAAAATACGTTGATGTTGGTCATTCACACATAAGACCAAAATGACCTGACCATGATGCTATCTTCTACTGTCCCGGGTCACTACTAGATCAATACAGCTGGAGAAGGTTCTGGAGTTTGTGGCCCAGAGGGCAGTCTGTTCAGGCCTGTGCTGCCAGCCTCTCGATTATCCTGCGGTAGTCTCCCACCACCTCCTGATAGGTCTTCTCCAGCTCCTCGTGCTGCACCTGAGTGTCCATCTGCCCCATGTGTGACACCAGCTCCTCCGGACGCAGACACTTCTTCATCTTCTCCAGCTCCCGTTGATTCTTCTACAAAAGAGACAGAAAACTTAATACAACATTCAATTCAGACTGTGATTGCATAATATACATTTTTTTAAATATAAAACTTGTTTTAAGTGTGTAAAAAAGAATCTGAACGAAAAGTAATTTTATCAAAGGTTTTGACCAACATTCCATGACATGGAATACTTTAGTCAGCAGCTTTCTAAGGTTTCTTGGTCATGGGAACCTTGAATCCGTCTAAAGACAATGTGTCCAGAGCAATCTGCAGCCTGAATAAGCCTGCAGAGAGTCACAAGGGATTTGGGCCTCAGAGAAAGCAGAGCTGAACGAGTCCTGCATAATCCCTCTCAGACTCAGAGAGCAGTGGCCTCCACTACTACACTAACTATGCTAAATCTCCTCCGGGAAGGAAAAATGGACAGCATCTGGCAACCAGATCTTTCTCTGCCAGTGTCTCTATTTCCCTCCTGCACTGAACCTTTCCCTGTCAGACTCTTCCTCATGGAGACGTGTGGTTTTCCTGCTGACAGAGACTTCTCTGTTGGCTGCTATGCAACACTTTGTGAGTGGCTCATTTGGAAAATGTCAGGAGCAAACAGGAAGCCGGGCATTATTTGAGTGCAGAGTTCTAGGTGGCGTTTTCAAATGTGGCAGGACAAAATTAGTACCAATGTTTGATATTCTGCTCACCCAGGCCTGCTATAGTAAATTCTTCTGCCAGGGCACAGCTCCAAAACTTGTAATAGTGGCAGCTTTTTGACAAAGTGCTTCAAACACTTTCATGAAAATCATTTCCCCCAAAGAAATGCAAATGCTAACTAATGACATGTGTCTGAATAGAGGAAAGCTCCTGCGGGAGCACAACTGCAGACGCCTGGTGCGCGCCATTGTGGCACGAACAATGAGCTCCAACATTAGTAATCTATCAATTTTTATGAGACTGAGGATCAATTCTGCTCTCGTTTAAAATAGTATCATGATAAACAGCAACAAAGAGCAAAACAGAACTTGTATATGCACTGCACAGAGCACACAGCCATAAACAGGCTACACTTAGAAAACAAAAGGCACGAGAAACAAGCATGCTGGGATTTCATTTAGAAGCAACAGAGACTATGGTTTGTCATTTCACAGAAATTGTAAATTTAGACATCACTCAATAGTGTGAAAAGTGTCTCACTCTATAAGGTCCAAACAGCCTTTTCTTAACCTCCAGACGATATTCTCGAGCTTGATCCTCATCACTCATATCTGTGGTTCTCAGACGCAAGATCTCATACACTCGCCGGGCATGTTTCTACGAAAACAAATGAAAGGAGAACAAAAATAAGTACCAGAATGCTATGAGTATTTAGAAATAGCTGGAACCATGCACACCTTGTTGATCTTCAGCTTATCGCGAGCCTCTCTGACCATGTCTTCTGAAAAGCCATGCTGCAGTTTGCCAGAAGAAAACGATGGTAAGCTCTGGCAAAGTTTGGCCAGCACATAGTCCCTGAGCTTCACATAGTTATCAGATGGGTCTTCAGCTGCAAATCAAGATTAAGATAAATACAGAAAACTATCAATCAGTGCCAATCCTTCCTAGTATCATAATGATCTATGCTGTAGCAGTGGTTCTGAGTTGATCAGTGAACTCACCTGTGATGTCTTGTACTTTGGGCAGGTTGCAATAAAACTTGTGCACTGCCTCGAGCAGCTGGGCTCCATGTCCCTCTCCTTGGTATGGAGGCAGGATGAGCATTTGGCTAGTAAACGAACAGATCACATGCACATTTATAAAGACAACATGGGTTTGTTCCTTCAAGACAATATATTGTCTGAGGTTTTTTTAGTAGAAAAAAGAAAATTGATTGAAATGATGAAATAAAAGATTGTTATGCTGATCCATCAAGACAAATCAAATCCCATGCTTATCTATAAAGTTGTTTTCAGATACAAATCACCCTGGTTTGGTAATGAAACATAATCCGCTTGAATAGTTTGCTATATAAGCCAGTAATTTGGGCTCTTTGAGATGAGGATAAAGAAATGTATAATTTTCCACTCCTATTTCATACAAAAGAATGGGAAGGCACGTGCTGCCCTTGCAATTACCTTACACGTGGTCTCGTTTTGTCTGGGTACACGTAGTAATTATAAACTGTCATGTAGCCAACAGTAGCGTAGAGAGTCTCCCCATCTTTATTGTACTTTTCAAATCTGCAGAGAAAACACAAAGGCAAACAGGTCAATTACAGGCACACTCCCATGCAGTGTCCATTTGAGCGCGTGTTCTCATGCCTCGTTCAGGCTCGTTCTCCCTCACACACACACACACGTAGAGCAGCCAGGCCCGATTGGTACACCTGCTACAATCTGAATACATTATGCACTTAATTGGAGTACTGCAACTTCTAGAGCAGGAGAAGGGGCTGAAGGAGGGACTGAGCTCCTCAAAATCACTTCAGTCCATTTTAACCATTGTCACTTTTAATAGGTGCCAGGGTAAAGAAAACACTGGCAGAGGCTCTTTTTACTGTTAAGACATTGTTCAGAGTTTCAAAAGACAACAGTATTCAATTCAGATCTTGGCCCTGAATTTTTTGAAAAGGGCTTTTGGTACAATGGAGCTTCTTGCCTGATCAACAATTCTCCGACAGAAGAAAAATAATCAAACTGGCCTGGTAATTGGTCACAAGCGCCTCAAAGGGGGGCTTTGTTTTTCAATGACACAATAAAGGCTTTTGGGTGGAGGTGGTCGCAGGGGTGTGGAAGGAGTGTGCGTGGGGCTGATGTCAATTAAAGAGGGCACTCACACAAGAAAGAAGTCCCAATGATCGTCGTCGGCATCAATGAAGCTGGCAGTCTCTATGAACCACATGAGGAAGGTCTGCAAACGCTCATGGTACTCATGGAATCCTGGACAAGTGACATCAGCCTGAACAAAAACAAACAGATTTAGTTCTTGATGTGAGAAACTCATGATTCTTTTGTAGTACACGCAGACCAAAGTTTTAACCAAAAGGCCTACCATGAGCCTACGCTGTGCCATTAGAAATGACAGTAATGAAACAGGTAATGCACCTGTTCAAGATGAGGGTCATTTGAATGTTTCTGCAAAACTTTACTTTGTTTATCTATTGAGCATAAGGAAGATCCATCTGTGGCACACATAACTCTGCCGTTTGCCAGATTGACTTGAACTTTTGTATACAGGTGGCACAATGGTGTGAATCTTTTAATGAGAGATGTTTATCCCAAATAAAAATTTAATTGGTCTGAAAATAATTGGTGTACATCACTACCTCACGGTCAATCACTGTGCTCAGCACCAATCACACTTCCCCTTTAGCGGTTAGCAGCCAAAAACAAAAACAGAAGAGCTGCAAATGCAAAAACGTGTGTAGGTCTTTAAGATGATGTGAAAGACAGTAGAGGACTGAGATAACACTAGTCAAAACACTAGACAGAGGATCAAAATAAAACTAGAAGAGGTAAAGTTTGTGTAAGCTGTCGTACAGGTATTAAACCAAAGGAAGGTTCCTCACCGATCATCTGCTAAACGGAAGTACAGAGGATGGGTGCCTTCCTTTGTTTAGAAAAAGCTCAAACATCTAAATTATCTTTTGTACGTGGCCAATGTGGAAACACTAGTTTCCTCATGGAGGTGTTATTTTTCTGCCTGAAAAATTTGACAAAAATGGCATACATTTTAGCGAGTAGGAGATTCAACTTCACCAAAACTTGTTGGCAATAAAATACCCTAGAAAACAAATATAATAAAACAAGACTGTGAATCATTCCTGGTAAAGCCATAATCTTCTCAAGGAGAACCAGAAACCTGGCATAGTGTGTATTAAAATGCAGACGCACAGAAAGGTGCCAGTACAACAGCAGTTGAATACAAACCTTGTAGATCTGGTACGTGAGCTCCCCTGCCTCCTCATTGTGGACTGTGTACGAGTGGAAAAGGGTGCCGAAGGGCTTAAAGTTGGTATCCTTGTCCAACAGTGAAACAAAGTCGTCAATGTTGCTCGTGAACCCAGCAGGGATGATGTCTCTGACCTTTCCTTCGATGTCGTCAGCCTGGTAATAATGACAAACATATCACAATCCATGAGTTTCTTTGAATCTATCTCTGAAGTAATTTTATTTCCTTCAATAGTATTAGCCTCTGTAAAACAATTACAAACTCTGCAAATAGATGAGCAAAAACAAAAAAGCGCTTTCAAGATTGAAGTCTATACATTACTATGCGAAATGAAAGGAAACCATTAGGCAATTAAAACTGTCAGCTGAGCAGAACACAGCCCCCTCCCCCTTCTTGTTGAAAGACCACTTAAATCAGTGCATTTACTACTTATGCTAAACCATGAATATGTGATGAACTTGCCACAATAACGGATTTTTGCTCCTCACTGGGAAATAAAGTCGAATGAATTGATCTCAACTTAACAAACCTGGGCATCCATAATAGAGGCCTCTCCTCTAATCCTGCCAAGTGAACCCAATCAAATGAATTTGCCCCTTTTAGGTTTTCAAAGAGCTTGTGAGACAAAGGGGCTCTACCCTTGGACTTTTTACTCTGTGCAACGTGTGGTTAGTTCAGCTGTAATGTTTGCATTGTATCCATTTCCACAAGGATTGACACGAGAACACTTGGCTAAGCAGCCCTTTCACACCATTTACATGTGTGATGGGCATTATGTCGGCACAGAGACCCTCGCTGCTCAGCATTGAAAACTGGGAAATGAAGAAGGTCTGAGCAAAATGCACTACAAAAGGCTAATACAACATACTGCTAATTCCCTCCTTTCAGACATCAGCTAATATCTAACTCCAAGTAATGCACCTGCAGCTGAATGCCTCTTAAGCATTGTAATTGTCCAGCCACATTTCTAAGGAACAAGAACCATACTCAAAAGGCCATGGACAAACAAGTTCCTTTGTCCATAGCACTCTCCTACATACTAGACACTAAATTGTGCTTTTCAGAATAGATGCCTCAGTTTGGCATCAATATATCTCAACAATGAACCTTTGTACATACTGTTCAAAATTAAATACATTAACAACATGTCCTAAAGTGAGAAACCTATAAAATTTTGCTTTGGTATGACCATTTTCATTTATACCAAAGACAGATCATAACAGAACTTTCGTTTACAAGCTTTTGAAACTGTATTATAATGCATGAAAATAAGAACTGATTATAGCAGGTTAAAAATATGCGACAGACATAAGAAGGGACAGCGGGTCAGCCTACAAACGAGCACTTGGGAAGTCCGGTAGCGTTGATTTGGCCTAATTTAAAAGGGGAGAAGGTGAGCTCTGATGAGCAGCTGCATAACCCTGTTTGTGTGTCTCGGCAGCTGCGTGACTGTCAGTCCACTCTCAGACAGAGGCTCTTCAGAGGAGTCTGATCTCTGCTGCTCCTGCCTCTCCATGACTGCACCAGCTGCACTCAGCGCTCTAAAAAGGTGAACACTCAGGGGTCAACATGCACCACTAAGTAGTGCACCACACACTGAAAGCCATACTTTATTTCACCTATTGAGAATCAGGAAAAGTAAGAAGTATGCTACTTCCTTTACAACTTCAAATGAGGTAAAGAGGTTGTTCTTCAACTTTCTCCCCAAACCTAAAAGTGAAGTGATGCTTACCCTTGTCAAATGAGCCATTACAGCTATATGGGGGTATTTTAACCATACCAGTATCAGCCAAAACTATGTCCTAAGTTGTATCTTGTAATTCTATACCTGCTTTTAAACTTGTCAAGTCATATTGTTCAACACTAGACTCCTCAATCCAGTGTTGAATCATCTGACCTTTATGGACCCTTCAGCACCGTCTCCCTTAAAGTGCATATTCAAAATCACAATTTTACAGGCAATAAACAGACTTGCCAGTTGTATTTTAATTAATTACCTACATAGTATTCTAGATCCTAACTAATAACCAGCAAAAAAATATGCATGTTTAATTGCCGACGTTGCAGCTTCCCTTACACATATTCACTATATTCACAAAAAAAGACTTGACTACACATAACTTTAGCAACAATGCACTCCTGGAAATACATACGAGATGTCCAACCGGGTCATATTACTCCTCCCGCTGGTTCAATCAGAGAAACCTCAAAAAAAGGGGGGGAAAAAAATCAATGCCTGATGTTTGAGCCCACCTACCAAACCTTTTAAAAGTGTTCTCTTCCGACAGGGAGGGGTGGGATTAGTTTACCAGCACAGGGTGATCTTAGGGGGGTCTAAGATTTAGTCAAACAAAATAGATTATTTGAATGATGTCGCTATCCTTTGGATAAGTCCTGTTACCCCAGTTGCGGAGCAGAAACATTGAGAATCTGACTGGTAGGCAGTATTTAAAAAACTAAGCAATTCATCATTTTTTTGCCAAATTACAGCTTGAAATATCAAATTATATAACTGCACCCTAAATGCACTTTAGATGCATGTTCTGCAGAAACCAGTTCACCGAACATAAACAATATTTAGGAGAAATAGGTAAAATAATGACCTTCTATTGGCTCAATGCCACAATATTCAGACAGTGGAATTTAATCAAAATCCAATTCAAAGTCACAATTGGCTCAAATATTTTTAAACATCGTATCTAAAAAGCTTCCAGTCAAGACAAACAAATCAAAAACACATTTCTGTTTATACTCCTCCTCCTTGCATTATACAGACACCAGTAAGGCACTTCCACATGCAGGTTTGTTTAATGTTACATAGATTTTAGTTGATATTCATTACTGGGCTGAGTGCAATACTCCAGATTTGCTGCCATTTATTTATTAAAAATTGCGATTAAGTGTCACAATCATGTTAAGGAACAGTTTGGTCCCGGTTAAGACCTCAGCCCACTCCTTTAATGTCAACTTCCATCTTTATGATATTGCGCTAGGGCTGGGCAATATGGCTGAAAACTATATCACAATATCAATTATTATTTATTTGTTTAAAAAAAAAAACTAAATTAATACATTTGTTGTGTCGGCCAACATGTTAGCAATACTTGTTTAGTCACGGGGGAATGAGGACTCAGGCTGGAAGCAAATGTTCACAAGCACTGCGTCCCCCATTGTCAGTCCTGGTTGAATTCCAGTTTAGTCTGGTTTAGTCCTGGTTTAGCTCCTGGTTTAGCTCCTGTTTTGGCTGTTTGAGTGTCTTCAGTCTTCTTGATCTGACCGGCGTGTGTCCCCGTGACCACTTTGCAGCTCTAAGATTGCCACACGTGCCTCCAGAGGAAAAGGTTTATCTCTTGCTTTCGCTGAACGCATTAAGTAGCCGTACACATCATCTCATCCGCGCCGCACATTCCGCAACACGACGCAACGCATGGTCAGGTCTGAACGGCCGTTGCCGCAGTGTTTTTGCATTTCCCAGAATGCCTTGCGGTTCATGCCCGGCCATGATAGGTCAAGACGCCACTGCCTACGCCCCCAGAATGCCTTGTGCTTCTGGCTTGGCTTTTCTACCAGTTTTTTTCTAACGGAGTTAAGTAAAATTATTGAACATTCCATCAACCCCATTTCCTATTGATATTAAATATAGATTATTGATCCCCCGTAAGAGAAATTCAGGATAAACACGTCTATCACAATATATATCGTTTGTTTTATCACCCAGCCCCATATTGCTCTCAAAATGAACTACCATACTCCTAGCAATGTCGGGCTCCTGATCGCTTGGTCATCAACATGTACATTTACCTCAATTTAACGGTTGACAAATTATCAATGTATTCAAAAATTCTCGGCTCGATTTTCTATAATAAAAAACCCTGATTGGTGCACCTCTAGTTAGACCTTTAGCTAAAAGGAAACACATGTTACTACATAAATACCAAATAAAACATCCATCCATTTTCTTCCCCTCACTGATCCTCCTGCAGGTGGTGAGTCCACAGTAGACTAGACCTTCCAGCGGGGGCTTTGGACAATGTGGGGTTAAGTGTCTTGCCCAAGGACACAACAACAGCAGACATCAGTGGGAGTCGTGAAGTAGGTCTCGAGGTGGATTCAAACCTACGACCTTCAGGCCCTTACCTCTAGGAAACGTCTTTACAGGATGGTCCAAAAGTCGGCTCTTGGTCGAAAGCTACGTTCCACATGTGTGTCAATGCTGAGGGGAGTGAACCAGTCTAGTTTAGTCGCTGTGAAAGTTTGAAGGCACTCGTTTAAATGAATGCCGGCTGACACATGCGCAGATGCGTTTATTATTTACAGTCTATGGAGCAGCCTCACCCCGATTTGACCTCTGGCGGCCTCAGGTAAATTAGTTGGAGACCATTGCAAAGCCTTGTTGTGTTTTTTTGTCTGAATTATTGGTGTATAAAGTTATAGTATTTGTCCCCTTCCTTGCAATATTACTATTGAAAGTTCTTGGCCACAAATTAAAAGTTGTGTTACACTCAAGACGTATTTTAGCATTATTAAACACAACTTTAGTGGCAAGTTTTTGAAGCGCACAAGCAAGAAGGTCTCGGGCTCAATTCCACCCCCAGGTCTTTTTGTGTGGATTTTGCATGTTCTCCCCCTGTCTGCTCTGGTTTCCCCTACCACTAAAATACACGTACAATAGGACTGAAAGTAATGAGTGAGTGAAAGGATGACAATTGGTTGGAGGTAGGGCTGGGCGATTAATCGATTTTAATCATTAATTCGAGTTTTACGTTTAGGGCGATTTCTTTTTTTAAAAATTCGATTTTTATTTTCTCCAGCGCAGAACTACAGCGCTAACGCGCTAACCGCGGGTCTATGGTGTTGAGCAGTCATTTTGAAGCTAACCTAATGCTAACAGTCTCCCTCTGGCCTGAGGCTCGCTCTCACAGTTGGTGCTGTTGCAATAGCACTTCAAACGTTCAAGAAATCAGACTTTATGTAATCGCCAGAACACACACACACACACACACGCACGCTCCGGTCGTTATGTCCGTACGCCACATCTTTCACGCTCTCTCACGCTCGTTATTCCAAAGCGCGCTCCCGTGTCCGTGGCGCTCACACACTCGTGTCCCACTGAGCCGCTGCACTTTGGGGTAAGACACGTCTCACACATTGCTCTCATTGCTCTGATACAAACAACGTGTTCCCCGCTGTCTGTTAGCTACAGTAGCTGCTACAGTAGCTGTTAGCTACAGCATCAGAATGTAAACAGGAAGTCACTGAAGTTAGTATTAGCGCCACCAGCTGGACCGAGCGTTGTACTACAGCACAGTTACTCAGGCACAGTTGAAAGAACAAGCATGAAAACCCGAGGAAGCTTTTGGAAAAGACTGTATGTTACAACATTTCTATTTTGAGTAATCAGTTTTAAAAATGTGATATTTCATGTAAATAATGCATGTGTTTAATAGGATTGATATATTTGCGATGGGCCTTGTTTGTGTGATTTAAGTTATTTTGAAGGTGCATAGTGTCATTGTAAGTGAAGTTATTATAAAACTGTTAAGCTACATTTTCACTGTTTACAATGGCAGAGCCATCTCGTTTACAAGCATGTTTTAAGGCTTAATTCCTGTTACACTTATGCTCCATGGGGATTTAGATTAAACTGCATAAAGGAAAATCTATTTCTTTGTCAGTTGTAGTTTGTTTTTAAATAGAAAAAAATAAATCGATTAAAATCGAAAATCGAATTTGGTGTGAAAAAATTGGAGATTTTTTTTTTTTGCCATATCGCCCAGCCCTATTTGGAGGCTTTGATGCGCCAGTGTGTTCAGTGTCTTGCTTCTGTCAGTGTGTGTGGAGGGAATAGTAATTACTGGCACAAGAATTGTAAAGTGCGTTGGGTAACATTGGTCTGCGCTATTAAAAATAAAGATAACTTATTTACTTATTAACAAGGGAGCTGGGATCTTCCTAATCTAATAATAATAATAAAATCTAATAAGACAATAGCATGTTCTGACCCAATTTGATGCAATGGAAGGCCAAATTTTAGAGTCGAGTTCAAGTCGTGACCAAATGATTAAAAAGAAAACACTTACCTCAACACACTCAAATTTCTCTGTGACTTTGGATGAATATTTCACTTTGAAGAAGGTACTCAGATTACCAGCAGTATAATAGAGCTGGACCTGAAGCCCTTTGTATCCAAAAGCCACCTCACTGCAAATAAATGATTATTACAATTAATGACATAACTATAATCTGTATGCAATGACACAGCTTTGCAAAAGTGGAGATAGAGTTCAAACACACAGCAGAATACAATCCACTGTCATTACACTTATTAAATACACAGCTAGAATAAATGATGTTTACAGTAGCTCTGGGCGCTTGTCTGACTGTGATGCATTGTTTCCTTCACCACCACATCACTTGCAGTTTATGACAATAGATTTAATTATTATGCAACAGAGTGATTGAGCTTCTCCAGCAATTATGCTTGCTGAAATAATTAATGCCCCAATTACTAAGTTCTTTTTGAGCTGATTGCAGTAGGGGCAAAAATAACCAATCCTAGTTTTGATTCTATTTGGAGCTGTAATTTAGAATGCAATCAAGTATAGACTAGGCCTACACAGCCACAGGTGTCACCAGCTTCAAATACAGGCTTAATGAGAAACTAAGAATCATGTGATGGTTTAGTGCAAGATAAAACAGACTGTGCCAATGCCTGCAGCATTCCATGGGCATACATTGAATATACTCACTCATCTCCAAATGTCTGGTGGCTGTACTCAGGATGGAAGGTTGTCCCATCATCTTCAAGATCTTCAGGAAATCTGACTGAGAGAAAACACCAGCCAATAAATTGGCATCGCTGTTATGCTCAATGAGTGCTGGATCTTGATCATAATACGATAAGAAGATGGAGGCCAATGCCACCCACTAACATACCCAATTTAAGACATACTGCTTCATTAGTGTCACACTTGAATTCAGCCAGTTTCTTCTCCATCGCATTAATTCCTGTAAATGAAAGGTTCACATGTTTTGTCATCTATGCTAGAAACTTAATAAATGGTGTATAATGCAACACGTATGCCTATATAAATCAGAATCATTTTCAGAATCATTTTTATAAATATATATATGCCATTGCAAGTTCGTTTAGCACCTAACAAAGTATGAAAATGTGGTTACACTGCACCACATTATGATGATGATATAATAATAATACAAACAGTGTTCTGTTATTAGTATCCGTCTTTGGGCTGACAGGCAGCCCACTAGTGCTGTTGTTAGCTTCATAGTTAACGTTAGCTTACTCGCTCAGATTGCATGCTGGTCATGCTAAACGGCATATACCTCCGTGAAATGGAGAAGCGAGCTGTGCAGGACAATTGCACGGGATTCTGGAACATGCATTTAGGCAACATGGATCGAACCCACATTTAGACACTTACCCGCCATCTCGGCAGCTCGGACTGGTGTTATGTTGAGCAGCGCTGTCCTGAAAGACGCGCGGAAAACATCCACTTCCGGGTTTACGTATTTCCGTCAACGCTGAAGCATGTTGATTTTCTTAGATATGATGATAACAACAATAATATGAGAATGTTACAACCATTATAAGTATTTTAATTGTAGTTACTGGTATAACTGTGTGCCATTCTCTCGTTCAAATTGTCTATAAATTGTTTTCAATGAGCCCCTATAAGATCAAATTATTATAAGTTTATTAGGAGTTTCAAAATATTATTTAATTATTATTTAAAATAAGAAATTGTTGATGTACAGTATACAATATTGCACTGATATAATGGAATGAATGGGAAAAAGTGATTTTTGTGCATTTGACATTTGACACACTACACTGCATTTGATAAATCTACAGTTATACATTAACAACATTTTTATGATGCAACTATTTTCTCATGAAGGTGTCTAGACGGGGTCACAATACATAATTAAAAAAAAATCATATCCATGATGTTGGCCAATAAGCATAATAGAATCATATTGATTTCCTGTGCTTCATTTTTTATGCCCTGTGCTGACAAACTGCCCCTGGTGGGATGAATAAAGTAGTCTGAATCTGAGTCTGAAACTATCAAATAACAAACAAAAAAATTGACATTTTCTTTTCCTAAAGTTTCTTTCAAGTAAAGCAAAGAAATATAATCAAATCTAAAATACATTTTTGAACATGAATTTAACCTCTTCCAGCTGTCCAGGCAAGTCTCCCACCACAGCACTAACCAGACACCACACTGCTGAGCTTCTGATCTGAGAAGAGCATGCAGGTTGTTTTTATGGCTGTGTTCTGGAAAAGTGCATGATGCAGAGTAAGAAACATGAAGATCTGCTCGGAGATGACTCACAAAAAGACTGTGTGTAAGTATTTTTTTTTACAAATCAAAACATATTTTACTGAATCAGTTCAATACAATGTTATGGCTCTATAATTGTGTGGACTATTTTAATTATCCCAGACAAGCGGCCAACAGTCAACGATGTTGAGTGTGGTCCAATCAATCATAATCTTTAACAAAACATTATTGTTAATATTAACTATTCTAACAATACTTGAGTCTCTGATCTGAGTTGGCAAATCAACAAAGTCAAAGCCAACTCAGATTGGAGAATAAAATCAATCGAACACAGAAGATGCAATTATAACAAACACATAGAAGCCATTGGTCCATATAGGGCCGATGACCAATATCTATACATTAATTTATTGGATTTTGAGAATAATTTTGAGAATAATTCATTATATAATATGACATTGAATTTTCTTAATTACTTGTGTTCTACAAAAGTATATGATTAGACTATAGTTGCATGTATTCTGGGGAAATGTGCACAATAATGAGACCTTTGATGATTTTGCCAGAGATAGATAATAAAACAGAAATAACATGTTTCATCTGCTCTGCTTCTCACAACCTAAAATAGTAGAACAATAACAAGTTTGATTTTCATCGTAAATACTTTTAGACTTCAATCAATCAATCAATCACTTTATTTATCCCCAAGGTGCAAACAGACATAATATAGACATGGGCCAGTGTCAGTGGAGGCTGTGTCCTCAGCTGAACCACAACACAAACCCCTTTGAGCAGCGCCTTTCAGACACACTCCACTCCACAATTCTCCATGTTTACATTTTTTCGTGTGCCTCAATTTCATGGGTAAGATAAGATAAGATAAAATAAAACTTGGTAGATTTGATAATGGAGAAATTGTTACATGTTACATTTAGCTTCAATAAGACCACTCAGGGTTTGCAAATATAATAAATAAATAAATGTGCAAACCACAGAAAATGTGCAAACCAAAAGTAGGAAAAGGTGCTCATGATGATGGGTGTCTGTGGAGATGGGTGTCTGTGGAGATGGGTGTCTGTGGAGATGGGTGTCTGTGGAGATGGGTGTCTGTGGTGATGGGTGTCTGTGGAGATGGGTGTCTGTGGAGATGGGTGTCTGTGGTGATGGGTGTCTGTGGAGATGGGTGTCTGTGGTGATGGGTGTCTGTGGTGATGGGTGTCTGTGGAGATGGGTGTCTGTGGTGATGGGTGTCTGTGGTGATGGGTGTCTGTGGAGATGGGTGTCTGTGGAGATGGGTGTCTGTGGAGATGGGTGTCTGTGGAGATGGGTGTCTGTGGAGATGGGTGTCTCTGTGATGTCCAGCGCGTGCGCCAGTCCGCTGCAGCTGACGTCACCCTCAGCATGGCGGTCAAGGTGACTTCGGCAACATTTCTGCTAAACATTATGAGAGTTTGAAAAGCCGTATTGTGGCTAAACGAGTGGCTTGTGGATGGATATGCAGAGGAGTGTTCCCGCGGAGAGGACCGTATCATTGGCTTTTCTCTAAAATGGATCCTGTATAATTAGGGCTTGCCTCTGTGCCGTTGAGCAGGGTATCTCTGGCCTCAGCTGATGCCATGGCTCTCTGTTGCTTGCATGTTGATGACTTAAATCAGGGTAACTTTGCAGGCTGATCGTAGTGCTGCTGTTATTACTATTTATGGTTATGTGCTTGTTGCTAGCTCTGTGTTAGCATTATGGTTGAGATGTGCTTGTCATCTACTGGCTTATACAGACAGACTTAGTTATTTGGATAAAACAAAATACTGTCATTCATTGTGTTAAGTCAAATTTGTTTTATTTTTGTAGGTCCAAACAACACAAAGAGCCGACCCCCATGACTTGAAGAATATTTTCCTCAAGGTGAGAAAAGCCTATTTTGGCCATTTGTATGTGTTTTTACAGTGTGTGTTTTAAATGTTGTCAATGTGAAGCACTTAGGGTTGCATTCTGTAGGAACTGTGCCATTGACATACATGTTGATTGTTTGATATTATTCTTCCACAAAACAAGTATGAATGCAACAACAGCAGTAGCATACTGTTGTTGCATATTACTGTCTGCATTGGTTTAGAAAAGGTCATACAAATGCTTCGACTAAATTTGGATTGGCTCTATAGACAATCTGTGCCTCCTTTGACTTTGAGTGTGCAGGGGGCTCAGATCTGGGTAACTGTCGTAAACACACTTGTCACACTAGAAGATTATGCATATGAATGGGAAATTTTAACTACTATTCTAAACAACTAAACTACTACTGTTATTACTATACTATACTACACTAGGAAAAAGTAAACAACTTGTGTTCTAGTCAATGCATTTTCTTAACACGCTTTACCTTTACACTTTACTTCTGCATCAAGTTGAGCCACAGGTCCTTTTTTCTGCCATAAGAGGTCTGGGTAATTTGTACCACATGCTCAGGTGGAAGAGTTAATTACTAGAAGCTTATTCAGGCTGCTGCTATAATTTGATTAAGAACACTTAATGCCTACTGTGAAGGTGAATGGATACACAATCATGTGATAAAGAAATGTAGCGATAAATTGGTTGGAATTAATATTTTAACTCCAAACATTAATCCAGCGAAGTGTATTGATTTGTGGCTTTGAAACACTTAGCTGTGACTCCTCCGCCCATGTCACTGTTTATCACACACTCTCCGTCCCATGAGCGTGGCCTTTCTGCGACTATTTCACACAGCACTATGTTCTTCAAGCTATATCTATTTCAACCTGATATTTAAGCCAGTATCTAAAAATGACCCTGTGTCTCAAAGCCCGACTTGCAGTTGGCGAGTTCTGCTGCCGTGAAACTCTAGTCACGTTATGTTTCTTAATGTCATTGTGGCTTCATCTCATCTACAACCCCTAGTACCATTACATTCAGACAATTTATCAACTTATTTTCTATGTCAATACTGCACAATTTAATTATAGAATCTAAAGGAAACTATTGGCATAATGGAGTTTGCAGAATAAGGCTATTATATGGGATACTCGTCTCGACAAGAAGCTTATCTCAAATAATGAAATAAATGAGTCATGGCCTAATGTTGTTGTCCTGTCTTTGCAGTATGCCAGTGTGGTGCAGGAGGGGGAGTGTCACATGACCCCCAGTGACTTTGTGCAGAGTTACCTCGGTCTGCACACACAGCCGCTGCACAACCCCAAAACTGTGGAGCTAATAGCCGGAGTCGCTGACACCACCAAAGATGGGTATGTGTGAAGCTAGAATAATAATAGAGAAAAGTATAATGACAAAAGTATGACCATTTCTTCATACAGGTTCTTCAAAAAACTAAATCCAAACCTAAATTGTAAGATCTTTTAGGAAATATGCAATTACTAAACAGCATGTAGCCAATGTTGTTGTTTGGTATTTTATATTTATTCAAGATTAATGTTTAAGTATAATATTGAATTTAGCAGTTCACACATTTCAAAGGTAACTTATAATCATTAACAAACTACACTCTGTTTGCTCAGTAAATATTGTTCTTATCAGTTTTTGACACAAAGTTTGTAACTCTGTGATAAGATAACATAGATTTATCTATTCAGTAGCATTTTTCTTGCGTAGTTGTGAACATTTGTTGTATTATTCAGCTTATGCTGTGGAAGTCTTTGTTGATTGTGTAAATATTTTGTGTTTTGTATTTCATTCAGAGAGTCTTCTTTCTTTGTTGTCCAAACAGACTGATTTCTTTCCAGGAGTTTTTGGCTTTTGAGTCTGTCCTGTGTGTCCCAGATGCACTTTTCATTGTTGCCTTTCAATTATTTGACAAAACCGGCACAGGGGACATCACCTTCGGTACGTATCACATTCTCATTCATGGTTTTCTTTTAACCCTATCTAGACCAGGCTTTTTAGGGCTTCCTGGGCTCAGAGGGGGGCTCTTTCAGGGGGTTCAGCCCCCCCCCATAACTGAAGAACAGTTCATTTTCAGGAGACGATCTACATAAAACTCTACAGTTAGCCTTATTTTGAGTCATATCATATGATTTATTATGACGTCATAATCTGTTTTATTGTCCAAAATGTCATATTTTCCTACAGAATCTGATTATGCATCTCAATTTTATTGTTTCAGCGCGTAAAAGCTTAAAACAATATTTGCTGCGAATGGCAATTTAAAGAAATATGCAAATTAAGACATAAAATGATGTTATGCATATGGTAATGTAGCTTAAATCTTTCATAACTTCCTACTTAAAATGTAAGTTCTTAGCACATGGTCTACTACTACTACATTTGCAGGGCATGATGTTCAAACATGTAATCATGCCAAAAAATCACACAATTAAATTTACTCAAGTTATCAAAGCTGACATTAACTTTAATAAAATTGTGTAAATATAATGTAATAAGTATTTATTAAGTGCCTTGAAGAAACTTTGATCGGTGATTTTGGGTCAGCCATACCTGTCAGAAAACCGTTACCATGGATACAGAAAAAATGCTGGACTTAAGCTTTGGGTAAAACATTTGTAGCCAACAAAATTTTAGTGAAAAGTCACCAAGTTTTGTAGTCCTAGCAATAATTGTGAAGATATTAAACCACATGAAAGTTAGCTCGGGCACTTTAAGCCCCCCCTGGTCTAGATAGGGTAAAGACATGTGACATGGCAGTGAACCATACTGACTCATGAGTTTCAATACATGCAAAACACTGATGATTGCAATACAATAAATATACAAAATCTTTTAAAAATAGTTACATCTGCAGTGAATTTATCTGTATTTAACCATCAATACATAAGTAAAGTGAGAGGAATAATAAGTGAAACAATAGAGTTTCTGTTTATGACCCTGTCATGTGATCTTGTGACTGTGCCATGGCGGTTGGCAGAAGTCAGAGAAGGTAATATTGGAGGGAGCGCATTAAACTCAGACTGACTCACTGTGCTTCTAGTTCAGTTTATTTATAAGAGAAATAGGAATTATAACAAATATAGTGTTTGTGCCCAGGCTGCCTCAAAATGAAGCATTTACAAATTATATTTACAAATATTTGATCTTTGTCCCGAGCCACAAGGTGTGTACATTGGCCACATTATTTATGTTAACATTACAGTCTTGGTTCTTAGGTTGAGTGACCAATCAGAAAACAGAATGAGCCTCTCATTTGAGTTGCCAGTTTCAAAGGTGAAATCCAGTATGTTTGGTCAGTACCTTTTGTACATCAGTAATCAGCAGAGGAGCTGCAGCAGTAGCAGCAGTGTACCCTGCTTTCAGGTAAATGCATTTGAAACTTGTGGATTAGTTGTAAGTGTAGTAATCTCAACTATAGTACCTTTCTACGGCTTCTACATTCAGTGCCTTTAAGGTAAATGCAAGCCTTGTCACAATTATCAATCTACACTTTTCTGTGTTGAGTGGTTTTATGATACATATAACAGACATTTTCAGGCCTTTACTTATGATGAATATAACAAAACCCGCACTAAGCCTAGGGAAGGTATACTTTATTTTCCCAATTGGCAAATTTGTTCTCTCTATTTGACCCATCCAGTGCTGCCACGAGCGTACCCTGTCAGGAGCAACGGTCGCTATAGCCCAGGGGCCCATCTCCAGATGTTGATTATCTGCACATTAATTAATTAATTGATCAAAAAAAAAACACATAGGGACAGGTGAAATCTGTGTTTGTATCCTGCTGTATGTCTTTATTTCAATGGTGAACAAGAATAATAAGATGGTCTTTATAAAAATGAAGGTAAATATATTTGTGGTGTCTTGGGAAAGCAAGACACCACTCTCCTTGGGGAGACATTCAAGGATTATCTTACCAAATCGGGTTTTTATGTATATGTCATAGCTATATTAGTGTTTTGAGGTGCAGTCTTCCGTCATCATCAACAGATTTGTGTTTGAATATGATAAAAAGCTACTCCTACTTTAAAGTTTACGGTCGGGCAATCAACCCAGTGATTATAACCATTTTACCAGTAAGTGGGCTGCTGCTGGCTTTTCAGTGGGTTTTTAATCAACTGCATCGTAACACAGATAGTGATAAAGTGAACACATGCAAAGGGTCAAATCCTTTCCCAGTTTTTTAATGGATGACTAGTAAGTTGTGAATATTGTATGTGGTACTACACACTGGAGACTACATTCTACCTGCATCTGGTATAAAAAGCATCATCCCAAAGCAGGAAAGTAAAATCACATTATAACCAGTTCCATCTGGCCAGAGTCAAAGTGAACTCAGCATGCCACAAAGCTGGAGACGCGCTCTATACAAAAGAGCCGATGCTATGCTCTTTCGGTGCTATGTGCAATGGGCCTACATAAAGGCGACTGAAATTGAGAGCAGTGCTTATAGTGAACATTTCCCGGATGGACTCAAAAACCTTCAAAATGTAAAAAAGACTGGCAAACAGCCTATTCAGCCGCGCAGTTCAAATTGACTCCTTCCTCAACTTTAACGAGATTCGCGGGGATGGGAATGAGGACGCGAGATGGACATTTCAATTGCTCCTTGCATGTTCTTCCGTCTCTTATTTCTCGTTTTCCTTTTTTGCAGAGAATGTTCGTGACATCTATAGCCAGACCACAGTTCATCACCATATACCCTTTAACTGGGACTGTGAGTTCATCAGACTACACTTCGGCCACAAGCGGAACAAGCGCCTCAGCTACACAGAGTTCACTCAGTTCCTACAGGTACTTTTATTTGTGTATGTGTAACAACGCTGTCATGCCGGGAAGTCAAATTGTTGAAATTTATTAGAATGTGGTAATAATGTTCTGTACTGAAAAACCATTAGTCAAAATGTCATGGGAAGGACAGTTACATGTTTTCTTCTGTGAAACAATTTGAAGTGATAGAGTGAAGTGGTTTCAATCCTTCTAGTGTATATCTTGTCTGTATTTTCTTGAGAATTCTTCTTCTTACTGGTTATAAATTGTATTGTCCTGTGACGTGAGGAGGAGTATTTTTGGAATAATTCTGGGGCAGTTAGAAAATACTATGGTCCTTGACAGAGTCTGGGTGGTCCTGAGTTGATCGGCAGTGGTTCGGCCATATTGCCGTGTGGGATTTTTCAAAGCTTTGTGGTTTATGATTTTTGACATGGACTTCCCATGGGTACACCAGAGGCTGCTGTGTGTGAGGCTCCTAGTGTGTTTATCAATACTATTGATTTGTCTTCTCGGTTTTATCTTTTTCTTTCCACACAATTGAAAGAATCCATGGACTTGTACTAGGATTGCAAAATTAAACACTTTGTTTGGGTCAAAACAAAGAAAAATATTTAATGAATGATTTTGATATGAATTTCTTGTGTTGTGAATGATATTTAAAACGATTTCTGAACATGTTTAACTAACTAAACTGAGTAATGCCAGCAGAACAAATAATACACACAAACAATAGAGTAACAATCAAGTAAATATATCTAGTAAATATTGTGCTTACTGTACACTGACTGGTTATCAGGAAGCTGATGTGACAGTGATGTTGATCCTGTGGTTTGTTCTATGAGCCCTGACAGCCCACAGTGACCCTGGGTCAGCCTTTCCCTACATCTCTTTCTGATTGCACAGTTGTCAATTTGAATCATCTTCTGCCGACACACCTGCCAGGCCTGTCCGAGAGCGCAGTGCTCAGGGCATGGCTTCCATTAGACTGCAGAGGAAAGTGATGATTACAAACAACAGGTTTTGACACTGTCACATTCATGACTTCCACATCTTCCCAGCACTCAACTCTACTGTAGACATTGTACTCTCAAGTTTAACTTCACCAGTGTAACCCAATGCTCCTCATCACAGGAGCCTTGTAGCCTGCTTTCTGGTAAAGGAATGTGTTCTGTGTGTTGCTGTAGGAGCTGCAGCTGGAACATGCTCGCCAGGCCTTCGCACAGAAAGACAAGAACAAAAGTGGCACCATTACTGCCTTGGACTTCAGTGACATCATGGCCACCATCAGACACCACATGCTGACTCCATTTGTAGAAGAGAATTTGGTTTCAGTGAGTTGTACAGAAGTAGTTGATATTTTCACATAGCCAGGTCAAGGGACATTTTGAAAAGATGTTGACCTCATGGTGAAGCCCTGATCTTTGTGCAGGCTGCAGGAGGCAACACCTCCCATATGGTGAGCTTCTCGTACTTCAACGCTTTCAACGCCCTCCTTAACAACATGGAGCTGGTGCGCAAGATTTACAGCACGTTGGCTGGCAGTCATCGAGACACAGAGGTGACCAAAGGTACTGCAGCTCCTGTCACTGTCGTCTAACAATTATATGAGATGTGGCTGTTGGATCACTTTGACTTTCTTAACAGAATGGTGAACACAGGGAACACTTACTATAGCACTAGATTTGGAAGGTAAATGACACTTTTTAACTTGCTGCTGGTCAGATCACCTCATGTAGGTCTGTGGTCGATCGGTTACATCTACTATTCATTGTACTTCCTGCTCAGATGTACACCGTCCTTCTATTATCTATTTGTGGTTTTCCTTTCTTAGAAAACTCAACAAATAGTATTTGTAAATAAAGAGCATTCTTTGTGTAGCCAGAAGTGCGATTTATGACTCCACAATACTTTGTTGAAAAGCAAATGGAAAAGCTTGCTTTTGTAGATCCTTTTTTTGGAGAAAGTCAATAAGTAAATCCTCTTCATTTTTCAGCAGGATGCTTTTGCAAAAGATGGCTGTATTCTGTGAAAAGCAGTTCTAAAGCCAGTGAGACAAAGCTCTATTGAAACACATTACTCTTAAGAAATTAAAGATCATAATGAATTGATCAAATGTTCAAGATGAAATTGCAACAAACAAGATTATTTGCAAATACTATTTGACTCTGTAGTGCTGTAGAGTAAATCCAAGCTCGCTCTCCAACTCCATGATCTCGTTTATTGCTTTGTTTTGCGTTATATAAATAAGTTCATTAATTGTTCCCTCTTCTTTTCATTCTAGAGGAGTTTGTGCATGGTGCCAATAAGTTTGGACAAATCACTCCGATGGAGATTGATATTCTGTTCCAACTTTCTGGGCTTCACTCTCACACTGGGTAAGAGTCCACTTTTTACCATTTGTCCAACACCGTTTTCTTTCCTTCAGCTTGTGTGGAAGAAACACATTACAGGCGTGTTTATTGGCAATAAAGATAAAGATATTTCTCTTATAGTTTAACAGCAGTGGCTCCACAGTCTAATTTATAGAACAAACATGAAACATGAACACAGACTTTATGATGCGCCGGGCCAGTGGGGAATATCTGTGTCAAATGTTTAGTAAGAAAACACTTTCATTTATGTGTGAGCCTCAGGGCATCACTCCAGGTTTGTTTGTCTCTTGTTTATACAAGCCCAAATTAAAGTTGCAGTAACTCCAGGTTATATGCTAGTAAAAGCATGGTGGAAAATCTTACATCACTGGCTGCAGCTCACATTAGATGGGAGCTTTTTCCTGGCCTAACCACTGTCCCCTGCTGTTGTTCGTTAAGGCGCCTGAACCATGCAGACATCGAGAGGATAGCCCCGCTGGAGGAAGGAGCCATGCCATACCACCTCGCCGAGGCTCAGAGACAGGTAGCATGATTGACTGGCCTTGTACGACCCACATCCTCCTGCCTTTTATCAGAGCCGTCTCCTCACCTCCATCTTCTTCCTCCTCAGAAAAGAGCAAAAAGTGAGCCTGCTCAGCCACTGAATTAGCAGAGTGCCCATGTTTTTCTTCCCTTGTGAAGAGCATTACTTAAACCCCCAGATAAAAGTACACCAATTATAGTCAGAGAAGAGGAATGGATTGTTGCATTGCACCTCCCCATGAAAGGCTTTTCCAATTTTATTCAGTATAGCTTCAGGTACACATCAGCTGTAATCACACATCTGAGAAGCTAATAGAGGCTTTTATCAGTGTGGGGTTTTAGGAGCCTGCATTGTCAGAGGAGAGGGACGGATTCAAGGTGGATGTGGGAGAACAAAATAGTTCCTCGCTGCACTGGAGAACATGTTCCACGTCAGTGCTGTGTGGTCAGTGCTCACAGGCTTAGGAGATTTCTGCAATTCGATTCCTCCGGGGGAATCATGCAGCAGTTCTCAGGCATCGCTGGAGTGGAAGTGGACTAATTGTTTAAAGCCTTTGATCAGGACCTTGGTCTTGTTAGCATGCAACCCTCACAAGAAGCATCTGGGATAAGGAAAGAGTGATCAGCTAACTTCCCGCTTGTCTGATCTCAACCTGGCCATGTGTTTAAACTTCCTGTTTCATGCAAAATTTTGAGAACCCAGTCAACATAATACATTTGGTTTTAAATGTAATTGCAATCTACACATATATAAATGCTTACCATCAGTTCTAATTCCTCATTATTCTAGAAGTTCCCAAATAACAAAGAGCCAAATTAATACCACTCGCAGTCAACAAGCACATATCGATTAAGTGCACATCCTAAGTATTTGTTTTATTATTGTCTGCAAAACACTAGACCTGCATCAGCAATAATTACAGCCAAGCATCTATTAAACATTTACAAGCAGAATTACACAGGCTTACATAAACATGGGGTATAAAAGAATAATTAATTGTTTAATGCAACATGACTCTGCCAGGGAGCATAAAGTTAAGCAATGAATCTCTACCACTGTATCTGTCTTTCCTCAATAAACTTGTCAAACATAACCATATACTTGTAATCTCTATAAATAAGGGAAATAGTTGTTGTAAAACTGCTTGAAATAGTGGTTCTCAACCTGGTGGGGTGGGTCAGAGAACGCGCAAGGGTACTGATACCTCAATTACTATTCTATTATGTGCTGCAGATATTGTATTGCAAATGCAGAACTTTGTGAATAAATGAATCTGATAGACATTGTTTTCATCTACGGAATACTTTGAAAAACACTGATTGGCTGGTGCAGGGCTAATCCATCCTGATTCACTTTTGTGTGCATAAAAAGCTGCTTTATGGTTGTGCAATTGGCAAGACTAATGACTAATGAAACAAATTATATTTAACTAAACTGGAGATATATGAATAGAAATGGATGGTGATTTCATTTCGCTTTTATCCTAATAATTTATTTATAAAATGATCTTGTTACTGTGCACTTATAGAGAGGAGGGAGGGACAAGTTGGAACGTATTAAAGTTTTCTGCTGCATGACGTGAAACATGAAGAAAGAAAAATAATTGAAAAGAAACCTGTACAAAGGTATTTCTGTACCGGGACTGCAGCGTCATTCAATACCAGCTGATGCCCAATCAAACACATTCTTTTCTGTATTGTCAAGCACTCCACGCTGACTTTCTATTCCCCCATGTATCTGGTTCACTACGGTTTAATAGCAACCCAATTCATGCCGTTCTGCTGTTACCGGTCTTGATCCCTCCATCTTTCTTCAGATTCATTTGACCAGCGGTGTCTCTTTCTCCCCACACAGCACCCTCTGGACCCATCCCGGCCCGTCTGGCTCCAGGCCGCGGAGTCTGCCTACAGGTTCAGCTTGGGCTCAATCGCTGGAGGTGAGTGACATGTCTGCGGCCGTCCGGGGGAAACCTTAGCCGAGCACAGCGGCCCATGCACGGCCCATTGTGCGCTGCAGGCGAGGGGCCGTGTGATGTGCCACCACTGGCTCCAGGCTGTCGTTGGCGGGGCGCTCTGGAATGACACAAGTCTTCCGGAACCACACTCTGGAATCTCTTGTCTAATTACGCTGGATGATGCCCCCTATGACACCGGGACGGGACCCTGACATTGGCCCAGCTGTACACTGTCGGTCCCAGGACGTGCCAGTTCAGGCCGGGTCAAAACAAGATGTATACCACAAAAGGTCTACAGAGGAAAGTGATAATGAGCTGTTTCTGTCTCTCGTGTGGAGAAGGCTCTTAGCGTGTTTGAGAGACGAGTCATTAAAGGAGGCTTTCAGGATCGACAAGGCACTCCAGGCGAACTCAGAATCTTGTAAGATAGAGCTGCTTTTTCCAACAGCCCATTTTCATTTATACATATTTTTCTTCTTACTCCTTTTTTCTTGTCTCTCAGTTATTGAAATATGTCGTTAAATTGTAATTACACAATTGTACATTTCAATGAAAGGTTTGACTGTCATGTTTTGTGTCTAAAGGTAGAGTCAGCTCAGTTACTGACATTTTTTCAATCTATATTCATGCTTACAGAATAAAGCATATAAAGTGTTATTTTACCGTTAGTGTATTGTCATAACATTGTCGAGTTACAAATGTGTAACTGGTCCAGGCCAAATTACCTAACAAAACATTTAAAGCTAGGGTACCTAAAAACACAAAAATGTCATATGTAATAAAATGTATCTAAGTAGTTTGTCGGTCTCAAAATAGTTTTTTCACACATATTTTTAGCAGAAAAGCTCAAAAAAGAGGACCACCCCTCATTAAGCCAATCAGCTCTCAGCCCAAGTTAGGTACCCCAACTTTTAGAGTTTTAGAGATCATTTGTACACATTGGCAAACTATTTCTCTAGCACCTTAATAAAATCATTACAAGGAATAGAACTCAAATTAAGAAATGCTATAATGTGAATGGGTTTAATTTAACCAAGTGTGTAATTCTCATGTGTTGTTTGTTAGCCACTGGTGCCACTGCAGTGTACCCCATCGACCTGGTGAAGACCCGCATGCAGAACCAGCGCTCCACGGGCTCCTTTGTGGGCGAGCTCATGTACAAAAACAGTTTTGATTGTGCCAAGAAGGTTCTTCGCTATGAGGGCTTCTTCGGATTCTACAGAGGTACTGCTCATTTACAGTTAGCCTCATTAGCAGCAGTGTGCGTAAGCAGACATGTGTTTCCTGTGCAACAAAAACAAGGTCCTGTCTGCGTGCTAATATCAGCTGCATGCTTTTTTCTAATTGATTCCAGAAACTGGTGCTCTGCTTGTGGTTGGTGGGGGACCTCACGGACAGGGTTTGCATGTTCATTATCTAGATCCCAGGAAGGGAAATTGACAGCTGAAATCCACATATAGGCACTCCATGCAGGTGGAGATAATGGTGCTGGAGCTTTGTGATGTGCAACACGGTGTAGTTCAGGGCTGTTCTGGTGGGGAAGTCAAGAGTGCCATCTACTGCTACGTCTACCACTGCGTTTTCTCTTCCCCTCTCCCATCACACATGATAAGAGGCTAGTTGCCTCGCAGACAGACACGCTCCACTGTTTTTTGGCCAAATACCAACAGCAGTCACTCAGCGGGTCCTTCAGAAGTTTATCTGGCCTGATGAAGGACAGACGGTGAAACACTACAGTGGTTATTGCCATAGTCGCACTGCCCTCCGCCTCTCTCTATTCGGCTGATCTTGTTCATGACCACACAGCTTTCTGTGTTCTGATTCTAATCCCATATTCACCACTGCAGTTACTTTTGTGTTGTGTTTCATTTTTCAATAAACATTGTTTTTTGTTAGAATGCATTGGATGATTTGGAAAATAAAATATTTGTTGGAAATGTATTTACTGGACTTACCAAAACTCCAAAACACATATTGTTCTTGCTTTTGTGCAGATGTGTGTTGTGCCCCTGTTCCAGGTCTTCTAATGGTGTCTATGAATAATATTTTTCAGGTCTCCTCCCGCAGCTCATTGGCGTCGCCCCGGAGAAAGCTATCAAACTCACGGCAAGTCATTTTAGTGTGTAGCTTTAGGAGTGTTTGTAAAGTTGTTTCCTATGATTCTCTGTGAAAGATAACCATGCATATAACTTACTGGAGGAAATACACTCTTTGCAATCAAGATATGAATCCAGCACAAGTTAATAATAATGCTGCTATCATGTGATCTTGTCTCTCCTGTTTCCCTTCAGATGAATGATTTTGTTAGGGACAAGTTCACCACAGAAGATGGTACCATCCCTGTACCAGCTGAGGTTCTCGCTGGAGGATGTGTAAGTTTTGAGACATTTGTTTTGTTTTCAAATATAAAACAAAGCCAACCTCAAATATCTTTTCTTATATTCCAAATTCCAAAGAGTTTCATTTGACCCCAGCATATTACAACAAATGGACAGTTGTTTTTATGTGTTATGTGCTCCTTTCCAGGTAACATGATGTATGTTTGTGTAAGCATAAATATGATAGTGTGTTCTCTTTTTTGGCCATGTCAGTTTTGTTTGTAACTTTTCACAAGTGCAGCTGTGGTTAAAGTGTAATTCTCCACTCGTGCTGTGTAGCGGCTGGGTGCTGGCAGAGTCAAACTAGCAGAGCCTGCAGGTTGCTGTAGCAGAGCAGGGTCCATGGGTCGAGACCTCTGTCAGGGTGTAATTGGAGGAAGAGGCCCTGAAGGGCCCGGACGCGGCTGGCGCTGGCTCATTGTGATTGAGTTTGACAGCGGCTCATACATACCTGAGGCCTGGTCCATGCGGGCCATATGACACAGCAGGTCCACACAGGAGCATGTCTCCTTGTGCCCTGAAAGACACATTTAAAACACAGACTTGTTTGGAAAACCTAGATGTGTGAAGAGCGGTCAAGTGCTCTCGCTGGAGTTTTGGGGAAGTTCATACACTGGGAACTGGGCTATACAGAAATCCACTAAAGATAAATAGTGATGGGGGTGACCGCATCATTCTTCGGCAGCGGATATTCCCCATCCACTTTGACTGAACGTGCCAGAGCTTTTTTTAGCCCCATGTTCGGATGTTTACAGATAGTGTCAGCAGGGCCGTTGGGGCTTAATTCGCTTTGGGGAGGGTGATAAATGTGCTGCAGTCAGAGGGTATGGGCCTCAGGGCTCTGCCTGCTTGGATCCTGGGACTCCCCTGGGAACAGACTGCACTGAGGAAATGTCCAGGCTGAGGCTGTCCCGGGACACTCACCCCTCTACAGGAGAAGCCTCAGGGGGGAGTCAGGGGCACGAGGGGCAAAGGGCTGGTGCCAGGGACAGGGGCCAGGGCTCCTCCTCACCCCGGCCTGCTCTGGCCTGACCCCAGCCGCTCCTCTCTCAATGCCTGCCTTTTGCTCCGATCAAGACCCTTCTATGACTCATTCAAATCAGATCAAGAAAAAAAGCATCGTTTGTTCTCAGTTTACTGAGACAATTAATAAAGACTCAGACACAGGAGAAATGCTTACACATCATTATCATGTTCACCCAGAGTTCACCCCTGACAAAGTCACACTTGTTGTTCATAACAGAGACACTGAATAATGAGTGTTCAGCAGGTCAGGGTGTCGCTTTGGCCTCCTCATATCCAACAGTTAAGAATAGCTGATTTGTAAACACATCCCACATAAAGGGAAATATAAAAGGCTCAGAGATTCTGAGATCATGCACATTGTATGAAGCATATACAACAAACACCTCTGCATTTGTTTTGATATTTACCACATTCATTGAATGGAAGTACATGTGTGTCTAACCAGAGCGCTCTCTACAGGCCGGTGCGTCCCAGGTGATCTTCACCAACCCTCTGGAGATTGTTAAGATCCGCCTGCAGGTGGCTGGAGAGATCACTACAGGCCCCCGGGTCAGCGCCCTCAGTGTTATCAGAGAGCTGGGCTTCTTTGGCCTTTACAAGGTGGGTCAGCACCTTCAGCCCCCCATGATGTCTGCAGCAACCTCTGCTCACTGCTGCACAAGGACAAGGTGCTCTCAAACTCACAGTGATGTGTGATAAAACAGGCTTCAATATCACAGTCAGAAGTCTCCACCATCAGGATGAGTTTTGATGAGTTTATTGCAGTCACAAACCTATTTTGAAATGTTCACAGAAAAAGTAACAGCGGAATACAGGGGACAAATGTCATTCTTATGGAGAGGGAAACAAAATGTGTTTTTTTTTTCATAATGTCCCAACATAAAATGTATTTGATATGTGATATGATGTCACTGACATTCACCGCAATAAAAGTTAAAGAGAGTGTACACAGGCATAATAGAAACCCAAATCTAAAATTGAAAGATCAAACAGATTATGCTGGCTGTTTGTAATTTTTCCAAAACAGTGTTAAACATTCAAAAGGAGCAGTGGCCAACAACCGACAGCAAATTACTGCAGGATTATGCTCTGCTACTGCTTCTTTCCAGATCCTTGTGGGTTGGAGTCTTGTGTTCATAGTCCATATTTTAACGAGGAGCAGACAGCGTGTGGCTTGTTAAAAAAAAGCTGACTTCCTCTTGTTGAGCTCAGCCTCAGCACACTGGGCCTGTAGCCTGTGTGATGACTCTGGAGGCCCACACTGCTCCTCTGCCCCGAGGCTCGTTGGCTCCTGTTGCAGCCTCATCATTTTCTACTCTTCTTCCATCTACCCTTTATGCAAATGTTGGGAGTTTGTGCTTTCTGTTGTAGGGAGCCAAAGCATGCTTCTTGCGAGACATTCCCTTCTCTGCCATATACTTCCCGGTGTATGCCCACACCAAGGCGAAGCTGGCTGATGAGGATGGACGTGTGGGGCCTCTGCAGCTGCTCACTGCTGGAGCTATTGCAGGTAATACAAGGATACAGGGATTAGGAGCTTAACATTGATTTTGAACATTACCATATGATTACATTTGCAGACATAATGTTTTGATAGTCTGTTCAATAGAATGAAAGCAGTGTATAGGGAAATGTTGTAACTATATTTTTTTGTGAAGTTAAAGCGGTAGTAACTACATTTCAAACCACAAAAAATAAAACTATAATAAAATATTAAAACTTAATTTATTTCTCGCTCTAAAAACAGTTTACTTCATACAAGTATTTTTAGCTTTTTAGAAAATAAATAAAAGAGGACTACTCTCAGCCAATCAGATCTCAGCCCAAATCATCAAATAGTGACAAGGCTCTTTCTTGCAACCATGGGAATGGCATGTTGTCTTCTGATTCACTTTTACAAGGCTCTTTCTGTTGGGACAAACTATGTGTATTATGTATGAAATAAAAATAATAGGTATCACAGATTGAAAGAACAAAAACAAATATTAATACTCGTGACTAAAAGTTGAAGATGCAGCTTTAAAATAAATCCTATAGTTTTCTTTCTCCTGTGGCATGCGTACATTGTTTTTGCCGATTTAAAGTTGTTCCCATTTCAGACCCTGCGTGATACTGCAGCAATCGGAGTAACTGATGCCATCTGTGCATAGTGAAACTGCTTCATTATCCCTGTTTCCCAAGGCGTACCGGCGGCATCTCTCGTCACCCCTGCCGATGTCATCAAGACCAGGCTCCAGGTGGCGGCCCGCGCAGGACAAACCACGTACAGCGGAGTCATCGACTGCTTCAGGAAGATCTTAAGGGAGGAAGGCTTCACCGCGCTTTGGAAAGGCGCAGGAGGTAAATGCGCTGGCGGGGAATTAAAGCCGCGAGCTCTGACTGTAATTGTCTCTGAGCCGCTGGATAAACGCTGATCTGTCCCTCGCAGCTCGTGTGTTCAGGTCCTCTCCCCAGTTTGCAGTGACGCTGGTGACCTACGAACAGTTACAGAGGTGGTTCTACGTCGACTTTGGAGGGCAGTAAGTATGATTCATTTTACTAGGGCTGTAGTTGCACCAAAAACATTCCGGACAATCGATTAGTCGACAGAAAAGTGGGCGTGGCGACTGCTCTAAATCAATGGTCTCCAACCTGTAGTTTGGGAGCTACCAGTAGCTTGCCACCCGCTTCCAGGTAGCTCCCCAAAGGATTAGAAATGTATTATTTACATTTTCACTATGTAAATGCAAAATTCGATGCAAAGTTAATATCAACATCTTTAGCTGTTTTGTTCCATATCTTCTCATTCTTTAAATTGAATTTCATTTTTTGTAATTTCAAATAAATTACCCGTCATCGAATACAATATTTGGTCACTAAGAAACCATCGACTGAGTAAACAACTAAAGATTTTTGTGTGTGTGCATATATTAATTGAATAATAAAACATTTCCTATATAGTTAAAGAATTACATCAAGTATTTATTCATTAAAATCAAATATTGACATTTATCTTAGAATTTTAGAAATTATATAATTTCTGAGCCAATGAAGTGTATAAGACAAAAGGCAGCTGTATTTCTGGGTGTAAGAAAAAAAAACAAAAACATGTATTAATATAAAAAAGCACTCATTTCCTGAATCATTGTCTCAGAACTTCCAGTAATGAGCCTTAAATATCCTGCCCTCTGCATTTACTACAGTAGGGATCACTCTACTGTGCCACACTGCCCCCTATGTGTTGATGAGTGGTATTTTCTTTTCAGTCGTCCTTCTGGGTCTGAGCCTACTCTTAAACCTTCTGCCCACGACCTCCCATCAGTGAAGGCAGACCATGTGGGGGGCTATAGTCTCGCTGCAGCCACGTTTGCCGGCATTGAAAGGAAGTTCGGCCTGCACCTGCCCAAGTTCAAGCCCTCTGCAGCGGTGGCAACCACTGAATCCACAAGCGCCCCTGAGCCTTCTTAAAACACATTTCATATCTTCCAACATCTTAATCTTCCACTTTGGCTTCACGGTGGTCTTATCGATCCATGCTTCAGCTCACTACCATTTGTCGTAATGCTATAAGGCTGCATGGGAATGGCTTTTAGCATTTATTTGCATAGCTTGCACAGGTCTATTGTACATATTGTACTTCTCTCTGGAGGAACATGATGGCTCTGTGAATGGCTGTTGGTATTTTCCGGTGCGGTGACGCTTCGTGTGCATGTGTGAACTTTCAAAGACACGCTGTACAGATGTTTCAATCATTTTGAAATCACAACAAACTTGTGAAATAATTTAAATGCATTTATTGTATTTTATTGAAATAAATCTTTTAAAACAGTGTTGTGTCATGTGAAAGTACATTCCTACATTCACATTCTCGATAACAAGCATAGAACTTCTAATGTATTTATCTGAACTAACATCCAGCTTTACAGGCTTAAAAAAATCACTGAGTCTTACAGCAGACGTCTTCCTCGCTCATAGGATATCATATCAGATGTATTTACACAAACCGGCGTGTACAAGAAAAACATTAAGGAATCAGGACACTATTAAGTTAAAGCTCAAGTGTTAATGATAAAGGATTGATGAAAGTTAAGATTATGGTCATGAAATGTTTACATTCCTGTGGAAAGATGAGGGTGATTGCTCTGGCCTGAAATTATATACTCTAAACCCGAAGTATGATATGATTCTGTATTTGGCATTAAACTCAAACGTAAGGCTTGTGATCGGGTTGAAACAAAAGACAAAAATAAATCAGAATACAAAAGTAAGGCATCAGGTAGAGAACAGGACTGGGAGCATCCACAGCTTCACACATAAAGCCCTGTTGATTGTAATCAGAGGAAGAAAATAATCCCACAAATGTAAAAGTATATATTTTTTTCCACTCGGACCTTCTTTTCTTTGTCCAGTTGTATTTTTGTCCTATCAATAGAGTTAATAACAAGTGCACAGCTGGTCCCTGAAACATGGTATCCATGGAAACGAGCTCAGGCAGCAAGACGCTGAGCGGCCAGTTCCTCTGCATCGTCTCTGTTCTCATTGATCTCCGCCAGAGTGCGGACAAACCGGGTCCACTCATCACTACGAGGGATGGCAGTTTGCTGTCATGTGGAAGTAGAAAAAAACACTTAAAAACAAATCAATAGAAAGGTAGGTCATCCTAATATAAAAATATAATTACTTCTCCAACTTCATAGACGCGGACACACCCATCCGAATCGCCCACAGCGATCTCTCTGCCCGAAGGAGCCCACCTCACTCTATTCAGGGCAGGGTTACCCTCCACCGTGACACTAGCCGTGGGGACCTACACAAGACACATATTGAAATGTTATATTATTCTGCAGATGCATCCTTGTTCAGAGCAAAACAGGGATTACCTCTGTGTCATTGTTCAGGTTCCACAGGTCGAGATGACCTACTCCGTCCACACAGGCAAAAAGAGCAGGGTGAATAGGAGACCACATAACGTCATAAACATAATCAGAGTTGTCCTCAAAGGAATACAGCGGCTTGTTATTCTGTGGCACAGTAACACACAAACAACAACAAATATGTAAATATGAGGCGTTAAATGTTCACAGTTCAATTTAATCATTGTAGAAATTAAAGCCATAAATACCTTTGTGCTCCACAGCTTGACGGTCCAGTCAAATGATGAGGTAACAAACAGGTGGGAAAAGTCCAGGGGCCCTGCTGCCGTGTGGCAGTTGATGCCTGTGATGGGCCCGTGGTGGCCCTCAAACATCTCACTGATACCAGCTTTGCTGTGAGAAACAACCACATCGTTCTGAATGAGGCTAACAATAATATCACACATCACCTTCTGTCCATAGCCACTAGTGACTTTTTGAGATGTTACACAAGATGCACCTCGCTTGAGCGATTTAATGAATGACTTATCACATGATTTGCAGCAGGGTGACAAAAGTGCGAGCAACCCTCAACCACATGTTGCAAAGCTGTTACCCAACAGGCTCTGGTAATTAATGTAGAGAGGTAAATACTCAGCATGAGTGATGCTTATGCATTATTAACTGAGATGAGAGTATCATAGTGTTGTAAATGAGCTGGAAAATGATTCCCTCAATTACAGAGGTGACTCCGCCGTGTAAAAACAGCTATCCCCTGTCTGTGCTGTCACAGACAGGGGACGAACCTCTGCTCATTGGAGGAGAAATATTGTGTAGTTTTGTGGCAGGACCACAGTCCACACACTTTTAAATGGAAACTTTGTGAAAAGTGCTGCACTTTTAATTCTCTTAGGGTCCACTGTAAACAAACTTGCTCAGCCAAAGAACTGTACAAGAGGGGAGGGAAAAAATGATTTGTTTCCCCCACATGTGTGCCCTGTTTATGTTGAACGACCTTTACAAACACAACTGACAAGCGGAAAAGAAAAACAGGATGACTGGGCAGGAGTGAAACCTCAAACAGCAGGAGATCAAGTGTTGGATTTGTGTAACGCTGGGAAGTGTGTGGGTTAGATGTATTTGTAGATAGGTTGAACAAGTCCCCTCAGTCCAGTCCCCACGTTTCTTTTTGTGCACTCACCTTCCGTGACGACATGACATGTAGACTGAGCCGTCCTCACTGCCCACCACAAAGTTGTTGACATCTCCAAGAGGAAACGACATGGAGGTGACAGCTACAGTTTTGGGCTGTTTGAACACCAGCTCCATACTGTCCTGTGGAGGCAGCGGAACACTATATCAACACTCTGCTTCTGCCCTGCTTTTACACGCCAAAAACAATAAACACATACACTTTAGTTTACATTTAACCTGCATTTTATTTGAATAAAAAAAGGTTTGCCATTGACATCTTGGCAGCAAAGAAGGAATGACACGGCTAGCATAGTTCATACCCTTGTGAGAGTATATTTGCAGAAAAAGTCAAGGAAAAGGAAATACCAAACTGGACTGTAATAATGAGGCAGCCAAATTTGTCTACTTTAAGCTTAAACAGGACAGGCAGTGAAGAGGGAAGAGTGAAATGTTACGAAACATACAATTTAATTTAATAAGACCAGTTCCAGAGACCGCACGGCAAGAAAATACAGAAAATGAGTTAAGTGCAAGAATAACTATCAAAACAGGATTTGTCAATGTCACAAGAATGTCACAAGTATCAAAAAAATAAATGAAAAGCTCGTGAATTTAGCTTGTTCCAGCATATTTCTTACTGAAACTTGATTCAAGCAATGCTTAAAGAAATGCTTATTTTGGTTAAATCATTATTTGATAGTTTATTGCTATGTATGAATCTGAGCCCTAACAACTGACCAATCAGCCCCCAACTTTAGCACGCAAACGGGAACGGACCAGCGCCACTCCTGATTGGCTCTTTAGTTTCTCGGCTGTTGCTACCTATCTCATTGGACTCTGGTTTCTCACTTATGGAGCCAGTTTGAGCAATCTCTAATTGCTTCTTCCTAATTAGACAAATAGTATGAGTGAACTGAAGAACTCAATAACCCTGCACAACAGCCACACATTAGCTGTTCTACTTATTACAATAAAATGGTAGGTGAATAATTAAAAAGAACAAATGGATAAAGCCAATATTCCATAACGTGACTTGGGGCTGGTGCCATGAGAATTGGGTGGCAGCTCTGATTGCCACTCACCTGATCCAGCAATAAAGGGTTGACAATGGATAGATGGATAAACTTGAGAGATACCTGTGGCTGTGAGAGCATATCCAGGCTCCAGGAGCACATCTTTCCATCAGTGGAGATGCTGATGAGGTTGTGGGCGTTCTGAGTTCCCACCACATTCACACAATACACAGGATGCTGTACAAAGATGATGTATGTTTATAACAAATAACACATTATTTTTTATTCTAATTCTAGACGATGAGAGAATGCAGCAGGTGATGATTGTACCGTGTGCGCTGCTGCTGACAGGGGCGTCCGCTGTACTGGGGTCCTCTTGTTGCTCCTGTTATCCCATAGGACGATCTGCCCCGAGTACGTGCCCCCCACCATTATGTTGGGGTGGAACTTGGCAAACGCGGCGGACATAACAGCAGACTGTCAGCGAGAAAGACAGCACACGTTTAAAGTCAGACGGGGCAGCGACAGGGCTATAGTCACAAATTGTCACAGGCCTCCATACAGGAAACGGATACTGCACGATTAACTTGAACAATATGTGAGAAAAGTCAACGGAACAAGCATCTCATGACTGCACGTGACTCATTTTTTTGTTTATAACGTACTGGTGTAGGTGCGAGCTGCAACGCGCTGCTCTTTTGTTTTGTAAATGTTTTGTATTTTACATGAAAGTACAATCGTTGAATCGCTTCGAACATTTGTCTGAACCCCTGCAGCTGTTTACATAGTGAGGTTACTACAGTTTGAAATACTACTTAAGTATATGCATGTTAGATTTTAAAGCTAACAAAGCATTTACAGCCATTTCTCTGGCTTTGAGTGCTCCTTAGTTATACTGTCCTGTATGAGCGCTGCAACACACTAATGTCCCCACTGTCGGATGAATAAAGCTTCCTTTGTCTCATCTCATTCAAATTTTCCAACGTACATTTATGTTCATTAAAAGTGCAAACGGAAGTAGATTCTTCATAGCCTAATTTGATCTATTTTAACAACTAATTTTGTGCATGCTCACGACAGAATTTAACCATGTCTTATTCCACATGCTCCTTGTGTACTCTTACTACTTTCCTGTTTGTGCGCTGCCACCCTGACATTTCCTCACTTGACTTATCTGCTCTTGTCTGTTTTTTGTTTTTTTTATTTACACACATTATTTTCAAAACTTGCTAATGAATAACTTCATAGTATAGTTATTTTTCTTCGACAACATTCCTTTCATATAAAAAGAAAAACATTTCAACTATTGCATTGAGCGATGAGGACTCTTTGGACCAAGACTTGATTTCATGCTCTTCTGTGGGGGAAACAGTGGTTGCGGCTGTGGCTGAAACTGCCGTGCAGGTGACAAGGGCAATGTGACACCGGGAGAAACAAGTCAGATGGATTTATATATAGTATCCCCTTTTCCAGACTGAATCAGTTACTCCAACAATCTTGAATAAGCCTGAACCAAGAACTAAGCACTTCTCCTGTCTGTTATTCCTGCTGCAAAGAAAGTTACAATAGTGTCTTTATAATGAATAATAACCCAACAGTTTCCACCCTTATCTCTCAGACAGTAATTCATGCAGGGAATGAGACTTTACTAGGCTGACCCTTAGGCAGTTTGGTACTTTTCTGATTTTAAAGAATTCTGCAGATGACTTATCCTTGAGGACTACACAGTAAAAGTGGTATGCAAATCTGAATATATTTGAATCTACTGGGACCGTATGTTTTTCTAGCTTCCATGAGAAAGCACAATACAAACTGAAATTCTGTTGTTTGCAGATTAGAATAAGTCTTTTTGTGTGTTTGTAATAAATGCCAACCTTGTTACAAAGCCTCTCTGTCACGATTGATTGTGGAAGGTAAACAAAGCTCGGGGCCAGTCTACAATGTTATTTCTCATTCTTATTTATGGCTTTGCATGACTGACAAGATTCATGGATTTTGTGGCTAGACTGACATTCTTAGTTGGATCATTGCAAAAGAGAAACGCATAAATAAGTTGTATGAAAAGGCGCCGCACTGAGTCATCCAGAGAGACTTCATTCACACTGCCGGGTTTGATTCATCAGAGCAATATGCCTACATGTACATCCGCTCCGAAGGCCACATGTGGTTCTACTCAGCGCGTCTTGCTCTGGCCGCCCCGGGGCATAGTCTTGCTGCCGGTACATCTGAACACTTGGCTCTTGTTTAGATGCACATGATAACCCCAAACACTTAATCCTCCAGCAGCAGAGCTCGGATCCCGCTCCACTCCTATGGCGTCTACCGCACATGTGTTAGTGGATAAATGTGGCGGAGGTGGAGGCGGATGCCTGTGTCGTGAACTCACAAAGTGGATTAAAAAAAGACGAGGGAAGGTGCCTGAAGAGAAGAAAAAAACTCTTTATGGTGTCTTTTAAAGGTATGCTCGTCATTTCTGCATCCTAACTTTATGGTGCAATTAATAATACTGTTTGGAAACTATGCAATAAAAATAAGACTTACTAATGATCATGTAATGTTTACCAAGTTCACAAAGCGCATCAGCAGGCTACGAAGTACTAAATGTACTACTCCTGCATAATGTCAAAAGGACTCAACAGGTTCTGTGTGAAGAGAGAAGACACGTACTTGACAGTGGAAGACGTATTCCGGCGTGGCCTTCTTATACTTCATGTTCCACACCAGGGCCACTCCATCGGGCTCATGGGGAGCTTCCTCGTTGTTGTTGTAAGCGGCGACCAAGAGCTCTGGATACTGGCCAGATGAAAAAAAAAACATAATATTAATAAAGATCACACTAAATAAATGTGAAAGGCATGCTGTATACATGAGAACTACCCCTGGGCTGCAGCTGAGGACTTGCTTCCTCTTGCTAGATTCACGGATCATTTGAGTTGCACTAGACCAGAAAACTCTTACCTTGCTAAATCTATTCCCAACATTAACGAAATGGATTAAGAAAGGTGCTTGTAAGGATACAAGAAATGATTGTGAAGCTGTCGAAGCAAACTTAGGGGCATAACAAAAACACAGAGTAACCTTACCCTCAAGCAAACAAGCCATTAACATTGGCTGGCTTTAATGTCTGACCTTCAGCTTACAGTCTCTGAATACATAATTTCAGATCAGAAGGGGTTCACTTTGCACTGAGTGAGCAAACAGTGTGAACAAAGAGCCGGTGTTCAATCAATGTCACGAGTTGTTGCCGAAACATGCGTTAAATGACCTCAGACACGAGCGGAAACGAATCATTACAAACTGCGGCTTAGTGACAATGTGTGTGGGACATACCTAACTTTTGCACTGGGACTTGAAGCTAAAGGCTTAAGGCGTTATTTCAGCCTTATTATTCAGCATTATAACCAAGTGATTTGATTATATATTCATTATGTATTTATAAAAAGATAAGTTAATAATAACCTGGGGTGACCAGTCTAAGCAGGTGACAACACGATGCTTGGACCAGTGCTCATCCATAAACTGCCTGTTGAGAGACAGTTTGGCCCCGGCCTGGATTTCCCTGAGAGGTAAAAAGAGTATAAATCAATAAAGCACTTCTTCAGGGCAATTACAAGTTTTAAAAGACCAGTTGTCCAATTATTACCCCTCCTTCTCCTCCAGGTCGCGGCCGCTGTAGTCAAAGAAGAGGTCCACGTGCTCCGACAGGGCTCGCTCAATAATACGACTGCTGTGGTCGAAGAAATTCACAAACTCCTCCGAGTGCAATATCTGGAGTTTTTCCTCCTCTGTCAGTTCATGAGGGGGAGCTGCACCAGTAAACAGAAGCACAATGAAGAAATGACAAGTGGAATAATTATTGGGCTGTTATTTGACTTGGAGCAAATTGCAAGTTAATAAATATCTATTAGCACCTTCCTCTTCCTTCTTTTGGTCCGGTTGTTCAGTCTGTATCTCCTCTACTGCCAGTGGCGGAGCAACTTCTTCCTCTTCTTCTTCTTTGAATAAAAATCCAACACAATTATTGAAGTGAACAATAAAGACATTTTTGTAATTTAAGCGATTACATTAAGAGAGTCTTTTCTGTCATGCAAACAGAGAAAATGATTGTCTTTCCCAATCCCCACATTCAAGCTTCTATACAAACAATTTGTACCTTTTGGTCATTATTATATATTTTCAATGAAAAGCTTCACCCAGTGATTATGAGCACAGCTATAGACTGGTTTTGTATCCCTTCCCTCTATTTGTTTGGTTTGCAAGCACAATGTCGCCTTTCAAACACAACTTGGTTCTCTAAAAGGCGAGAAGTTTGTCATTTGTGTTAAATAGACACAGCTCAGCGGGTGCCTAGTTGTCATAGGGACCCCTGTCTTTCCAAACTGTTAATGAGAGAGAGCTATTGAAAAGAGTGGAGCTGTCAGTGTCGCAGTTTCCCTGTGTCCGTGTTGCAAGGCCACAGGGCAGTGGAGCAGCTGCCCAGGCCCATCTCTTTGCTCCGGCCAGATGACGACATGGTGCACAGGCAGATGGTGATGCTGCGATTGTCTGGTGCTCTTCAGAGGTGGCATGGGGATGGCACAGAGGTTTTCCGCCTGGCTGCCCCGAGACAAGCTTCTCCCTGAACAGCAAGCCTGTGCAATTACCATCCTAGCAGGAGGTCCTGCAACTCCTATTCAACCTCAAAGAATGTACAACAAAATACAGGCCAGACCAGCTGGCAAACTGCACACCGGCCCTACCTCAAAGAAGACCAACACGCTTTTCTACACACGTCTCATTCAGGCTGTGTATAGCACGTTTTCTATGTGAAAAACAAGAGCAAAGGCTGGACAAACAGATTCATGAGCATGGCAGAATTCATGCACGCTTCCTGCAGTCGTCTTCTTGGTGTGAGCCTCACAGTTTATCTTAGATGACAGCGCTGCATGACAAAATTTCTTTCCTACTGAGATAATCTAAATGATAATGTCATCTGTCACTTTGTCTGTAAAGCGATTTAGCCCCATTCTCAGACACAGGTTTGGGGAAGAAGGTTATTGGCTGCGCTGATGAGTTTACAGAACCAGGTTGATGACACAAGGCATTTCAATGTACGACCATACTCTGCAACCAACAGGAGAAGGTTAAAATCTTTCCTTTCAAGGGCCTCAATCAGGCTTAAAGGAAAACAGTAATCACTGTCTTTCAGCTCGTCCCGGCCGAGCTCGTCAGCCCTTTCCTTGGTGAGGCAGCCAGAGCAATCAACCTGCCAGGCATTAGGAGCGGATAGACAATCTGAAAATAAAGGGTATAATGCACCTGCCAGCCAAAATGGCCATTTGGAGAAAAGCTAGTGATCCTGGCGACCCTACTGGGGATGTGTGGGGAGTGGGGGCCAATGGTAGGTGGTGGAGGAAGTGGGACGGTTGGGGGAGTAGCATTTAACAGAATTCACCCGGATCACCAATGTCCCATACACTGACACGTCCTCTCAAAGCAGGCCCAATTATGGCTTTTGTGCCACTTAAGAAATAAAAGCTTTTCTGGGGGGAGTCAGACAGAGGCGTTGGGGGAAGAGTAATCACAGGTCTCGGCCCATGGACAATATATTAATGCAAACGCGACATGCGGTCAGTGATGTACAACTAAATGACCTCTGCTCGGTTTGCAGGTGTCTATCTCCTTCTATACATCAGTGAATGTAAATACAGACTATAGGCCTCGTCTCTGGCGACACGTCAGCCCAGCAGGGGGACAACATCTACACAGCAGGGGGCCCACTACTTTGAGCATACTCCAGCCAGAATTTGAACAGTAACACTAATCCCATTAAATGCAAGACAATTTGGTTGTAAAGATGAGCAAGATTAGATTATTGAAGAATGGGTCAAACAATCTACAAACTCAAATAACATTGTGATATTGTGACCTACAGTCACCTCCTTGTTCAAATGACATTTTCAAATGCAATTTACCAAATGAAACGTTGCCGTACTATGTCCACAATGAATGGTACTGTGAGGTGTTGGCCTAATGTTGCTAACCATCTGTAATATTTTTGTCATTTAGATGGTAAAAAGAGCACCCCACTCTAAAGCGCAGTGAATCCACTGCATTATACAATAGATATTTAACACTGGTAATCATGAAGTACATAAAAGCTAACCACGATTACGAGTGGCACTTCAAACAAGAAGGCCATTAAGGGTTTCATGATTAAAAGTTTTGACCTGTCTCCAAATTCAGCATGATTAAAACAATCACATTCAATTAAATATTAGATTTACTAAACTGCTCTGTATACTCCAACTACTGACAAGCCTTTTTAAGCACCGCACAAGACCAGCCACTCCACACCCACCACCCGCAACCTCCAACAATATCTTACTGTAATTATAGTCTCTTGTTGAGAAGTGCATAGTGATGCAGCATATTACCTAGTAGAGCATTTTAGGAAGACCGAAGAGGGACCACGATGCCACTGGCACAATTTAACAGTTAGCTAGTTTTGTGGATACCATTTCAGAAAAGTTTCAAGCTAATTACAATTTATTTCATATTGGTACGAGTGGCCATTGTCACTACAGATAAGGTTGAGCAGGAACATTTTCATAAAAAGTTGTTTTTTTCAGTTTATATGCTGGTAAAAAAGATACAGATGGAAGAGAATACATTCCTTCCATCTCTAGATGTAGTCGCCAACATTTGAATAGTTTCAATGTTGCTTGCAGTTTAAAATGGTCTGAGTGTCTGAGGCGCAGTGAATCATCATAATGTCTGGAAGAATTTTAGTCAGGTTTTAGCCAAGGCTAAATTCATCAAAATAAGTTTATCATATGAACAGACACTTTTCACACAATTATGGTGGATGAATTGATAGTTGTGAAAAATAATGTATGTATGTATGATATTGCATAACAAAATCATTCAATATCCTATTTTATCTTCAATATTAATAGTCGTCCAATTGGATTAGGACCTATCTATACAAGAACAGGGATATTAGAGGTATGCTGCAGCTCAGCCCGACTGAACCTAGTCCAGTCAGGACTTGGGCCTGGCCGCAGTAGCCGGGAGCTCGCGTGCCACCGCCCGCTGACCTTGAGAGTGCTGCACCATTGCCTCTTTTTGACAACATGATAAATGGCTCAATCAGAGCGCAGGTCTGATGCCACCCCACACATCAGAAATGCACAGAGGGGAGCGCACCGGGGATGGGGATGCCGCCTCATTGAGTGCCAGGAGTGATGGTGTGAAAATGCACAATGTGACTGAGTGTGTTTTGTTATGTGCCTGTTCGCTGAAGGGAGAAGACAGGGACGCGAGGGAGTTGATGAAATGATTACATAGTGGCAGAGAGGGGAAGGGGCTTGGTGTTGAACAGCTGGCAGAAACCATCGCTGTTTAACACACTTTTACAATGCCCAGTAGAGTCCAGAGGCACAGCAGTTTTACTCACGGCACAATGCTTTCTCTATTTTCACACCAACTTGTCTGCTGCAGAAGCTTCCTTATTTTACATCATCTGTGTTCCATAAATGTTGGGGTTAAAAACTCTCAAGAGTGTGTGTAAAATGTGCTGCAAACGTAAAGCCATGAGTGTAATATCAAAACTTGACATAATTAGGGCAGTAACAAGGTGTTGAATTAGTTGCAATTAATCCTTTATAAAATTTGTTGATTTTAAAATCTGCGTAATAGTTTTATGACAATTTACAAACTGGAAAATGTTTCAATCATTGTAGAATGAAATATTAAATCAAAATAACCATTATTGTTATAACACCAGTGGCTTTACTTAAGCTTTATTTTTCAAATATAAAATAAACACACTCGTAAAGTGCAGACCTAAATCCTGGATCTAATCATTTGTTTCTGAGATCAACTGAACATTTTGTATAAATCTGCTCATAACTTTGAGTTTTAATTGGTAATCACAGCCTTAGACACAATCAAATGGCAAGCAATTTAGTATTAAGTAAAAGATACTGCTTAAAGGTGAATGCAGAAAATACATATTATAAATAAATTAAACATGAAAACAAAAAGCATTGTTTTCATACAAACTTCTGGAATTAAATAATGAGAAAAGAAAAAATGAATCCTCATCAGAATTCAAGTCAAGCACATTATTCAGCAGCTGTCATTACACGAATCAGGCACGAACTCGCTGCACGGTCACAAATTATGCATATTTTATGCAACATGTGTCCAACATGTGGAGGTGGATAGAAGCTAGATTTTCTCTTTGACCAACCACATAAAGTGAATGAGCACAGCAATTACAAAAATATGGACACGCTTCAGCGACAGGGAGCAGCTGTAGCACTTCCCTTATATCTTGGCTGCCATCTCATCCCTTCTTCCTGTCACTGCTTTCTCATTCTGCTCAATAATTAGACCAAAGGCAAAGGAGTGACGCAGAGCAACATGTGAGGTAAAAAGGAGAAATGCTAATCGGAATAGAATCTTATTTTAATTATACTTTTATGTATATCATTCAAATTATAATGGTCACCATTGCTCAGAGAAAGTGATACAAAAAAATATAGACAACCCAAAATTATTTTGCCAATAATGCTCTGCTCAGACATAAATATTGTAATTGGAGTTGTACCTTCTTTAGGCTGGGTGAGTGCGGGGGTCTGCGTCTCTTTGGTGTAGGAAACAGTTTCACGTGGAGGGAAGTCTACATGTGTGACTTTGGCCAACCCCAGTTTTGGTGTCACACGCCTACAATGACAAAACATTTCAACATTTCCACAACCACTAAATATAAAACAACGCGGCATCAATATTAGAAATAAGCATAAAAAAAACAAAAAAAAATTTAAATATGCACAGCTATAAATGTTAACTTTCTACACAAATGTGGTTAAAAGTCTCACCTCAGTGTAGGTTAAACTTGTGCCCATATAAATTATGTTACTGTGTTATGAGATGGCAAAAACACTGAGTTAGCATAGTAACTGCATGAACACACAGACACATTTGGCTATAGTGTAATCAAACGAAGACATGCTAAAGATTGATAGAAGGGAAAATGACCAGGAAAGAAGAGAAGAGAGTGTCCAGTACCCCAGCTCAGAATCAGAGTGAAGTTGAAGTGTGGACGGGTCAGAGTCCCAGTGCAGAGTCCTGTTAGTGCCACAGCAACAAGGCAGCATTAGTGAAGAGACAAGCGCAGGCACAAAAGACATAATATCCAGTTAGCAATATGGCAAACGACATGCAAACAAGCTCAACATTGTGTGCAATCTGATAGTGAGTTACGACGGTGCTTTGATTCATATGATGTAATCCCAGTGCAGGGCTGTACCGGCACGCAACTCAAGAGGTCAAAGAACGCCTTAAACAGTTCTGAATCAGATGGCACAGGTTTGTACCCAGCTGCCTGAGGGCCACATGGATGCAGACACCAAAGCCTCTGAATGTGGTGTCGACAGAGAGAGGACCCTCGGGGAGAAAACATGACCTCCATGTGTGTAGGAAATGGCCATGCTGGTGAGGGAAATGAGTCAACACGTAGGGGGAACAGCTCCCTGGGCCTGATGGGACACTGGGGGAGCTTGAGTTTCAGCGCAGGGAAGGGGCTCTAATTAGAGGTTAAGAAGTCCCCCAGGCATCACCAACAGCCTGCTGGTTTATTGTTAATTTAGGATCGTTCTAATTCAGCGGCACACAAATTAAATAAACATGCACTCTGCTGGCATAAACTTATCATCAGTCACTGTAACGTTAGGAAACCTTCAGGTGGTTCCTCCGCTGGAAGTTATACACTGATGTTATGCGACTTGCAATCTTCAAACAAACCTCAACGCCCAAACTACTTTTTCCCATCAGATTTTATACTTTTGTTATGCTAAAGTCAGAGATTTTTATACTCATTATGCTAAAGATAGAGATTTTATACTTGTTTCTTCTTCATGCTAGAGTTAGAGACTTTTATTTTTGTTTATTTAGTATAGTATAGTGAGTTATTGTTCATTTATCATATACAGTGCGCTACTCTTTCCTACTGTTCTGTAACTAGAGATGCAACACTGAAATTTCCCACTGTGGGACGAATAAAGGATCTCTGTTAATCATCATAAGTGGCTGGTTTCACATTTACACTTGGTAATACTTGACAGCAGCAGAATAAAGGAAGATGTTAAATTAAAAAGGTACATTTGATCAGGCTCACAGGATCGCCTGTAGTTAACAGCAGCAAGGGGATTTTAAAGATGGTTGGAGTGTGACGCGTGTGTGATTCAGACTTTGCCGGGAACAGAGTAACTGTACCTGGGTCCCACAGCTCCATCCGAGTCCTGGCTCCCTGCCTCGCTCGGCGTGCCCGTGGATTTGGCAGTGGGAGACACGGGAGGAGGAGGCACTGCACAACAACATGCACAATCATCTCTTACACTTGAAGTATGTTTAGGTGTGCACAACAGAGGACAGATGCATTAGCACTGAAGTGTTGCTCCAAATTTGGCACACAATTTAAAATTAATGTTATTTAATATTGCTGCCAGACAAAAGTTCAGCCAGCAATTTGACATAATCGTATTCAATTTAGGAGAAAATATAGTAAGACAGCTTTGTGTCACAAGTCATGGTTTATTAAAAGGATTTTATGGATCACTTCTGCCACCTGGTGGTAGAAACATTACATTGTTAATGCTGATTTTTCCTTTTTCCTTTTTTTTTTTTTAAAGAGGAAAAGTCTCTATCATTTATGCATTCATATTCATGATAGCATATATATATATATATTTTTTTTTTTTTATTTGGTTTTGTACATGGTGTTTTGGCCCCTCAAAGACGCTTCACATGGCTTTATTCATTCACTCCATACACAATGGTGGTAAACTGGAACAGTTGCCACAGCTGCCCTGGGACAGACTGACGGAAGCAAGGGATCGATTGGTTGCTCCAACCACCACCAACAATTCACTCACATCCCAGACTCATACTAGGCAATGTGTCTTGCCAAAAAACACAACAGCAGTTGCCCTACTGTAGATATTTAGTAATGGCTATTATTATTCACAACATTCATAATCACGACATTCATAATCCATTCACGACATTTGAATGTTAGTGAATAGATTCAGTAAATTTCCAATTATGCAGTTAACAGTACACCACCTGAAGAATGGACATACAATTTGCAGCATCATAAAAATTACCAGAGGGAGTTTCTCCAATCCCCATGCTCTGTAACAGGGCTTCAGCTTCACGTCGTTTCTTCTCCAAATCAGAGTCATCTTGATGTTGCGAAGCCTCTTTCAGCTGTTCAGACTAAAAAAAGCAATTGTAGTTATTAAATTATGCTATTACATTACCAATTAGTAGAGGAAGATTTAGGTAAAAAGACATTACTGGAATGTTTACATGAAAAAAATCTAAACAAAAATTATTATTATTATTGTAGGGTATTCTTGTATTTGTGCCAAGGTTCCTGCATTGGCACTATTATGGTCCATTCACTTATTGTCAAAAGACTAACTAATGGCTAGATAACATAAAATGTGACATGTTAATACAAATATTTGAGAATTATATCTACCTCTTTTTTCTTTCGCTCCTCCTCTTTCCGCTTCTTCTCCTCCCTGATTTGTGCCAATCGTTGTTTCTTTCTTTCAAGCTCTGCCTTCAGCTCATTCTTGTCAGACATGGTGGACCAGCTACAGAGGGGGAAAAAACAGTTCTCTAATTGCATATAGACTGTAGAGCTATACATCTATGGCGGCAATGCAGAATCAGAAATGAATGCAACTTATTTTTCCGGTTTCACAATATATCAACGGAAAGGTGCAAAAAGATACAACTGAAAACCCTGTGTCTTCAAGACTCAATACTATACAGTTTCCGTTATAAATAATGTGATTATATAAAGGGTAGTGGGCAATTTTTTATTCTAGAATGTGGGTCAAATTAAAAGGATCAGAAAGAGGTCGGATTGAGGTCCAGGTCCAGACCAAGACTAAAAACATTACATTTGATATGGTAGATTACATGTAAATACAAAATTGATTAAAACGAGTGTTGTCTGAATAATGACTTTATGGGCAGCCCCACCCTGTGTGACAGACTACATGTGCTAGTTACAAGAATAACACGATTGAAATAAACTTTTAGCGATGCAGCAGTTCTTTGCAGTCATTGATTGTTATTTCTGGGAATGTCAGGATAATACAATTGATATTATGTGTTAAGAAGTAGCTAGATCATTTCTAAACATCTTCCTTCAGCTGGACCGTGCCCAGGCAGCATTCGCTTTCCATGATTCCAAAGAAGCAACCTAAGCCCATTCACTCTTTGGACGAGATCAAAGTAAATTAAAACATGTACGTACAAAAACCCGTAAAACGGGAGTAGAGTCATTATTGCCCATTCACATAAAGACAGCTGTATGTATAATGAAACAGGCTAAGTGTATAATTAGCTCAGTAGCCAACCGGGTAAAGTTAGCAGCCATATTATTTGAATCTCTTGTCAAAACAGTGAAATGATAGGCTCAGACTCAACTCAGAGATATTAGAGATATTATAGCCTTACGCGTAAAGCAGATGAACGGCCTTTCGTAAACTAACCTTACAGCGGGTTTATAACCTGTCACAAAGGTTTCGCCAACACAGGAAAACAAACAGGCCCAGCGCCGACTACCGGTGCCGAGGGTGGTCAAAAAGGACGAGACATTTTTTTGTATGTGTTAAATCAGGACAACTCCAGAAATACTTGTATATAATATGGATAAAGAGCTAATCCTAAAAAAATTAAATAAATACATAAATACTCTGAAACAAAAATATAAAATGCATTTTTATTCGCTTTTTCACAATATCATGACACAAGATGGTTTGACAAACATTAAATATAAAAATAACTATGATTATAAACAGCAATATAGATTTTTCCATCTACTCTCAGAAGTATTTAAGTATTTAGAAGTGTTTAGTTAACCATTTTAGTTTTGTGGCAGAATCACTTTGAAATTAGTTGTTTTCATCCATTGTATTGATTCTTCTTCTCATGTCACTGGCCTCAGCATCTGCTGCAGCAGGGAGTTGTGTCAGTGCTGGTCCCACTTGTCCTTTATCCTCTTCCACCTCGTTGCTATGCAAGGTATGCAAGACTTGAACATTGGGGCGTTTCCAAGGTACTCGAGTAACAGTATACACCACAATAGCCCCAAAACCCACCAAGAGCACTCCAAGAACATTTACAAAGAGTGCTTCAGGTGGAGACTGGCTGTACTTAGGGTCTTTTCTACGGGAAAAAGTTCAACAGTTATCCTCATATAATAGCATACATATATAAAATGTAATACATTATAGTAATTACTTACAGACCAAAAATGAGCTTTTCTGTTATACCCATGAGTGCAACAGAGATGACACCAACAAACAGCAAAGTCCCAAAAAAGACATGGAAAGGCATGAAGGCTGCTCTCCATGACACTGGTGAGACAGGGAGCAGGTACAAGACCACTGCTACAACAATCTGTGGATGAAGTTCAAGTTACGAGAAAGAAACACATAATACCCACAGTGTGAAGGGTCAGACCTACTTGTAAACAGTAAAGTGCGACAGCTGCTATCCCCAGCCAGCTGTGCAGGCTGTACATGTTGGGGATTTTGGCAGAGTTATGGAAGTCAAAGACTGCTACTGTGGATATAACAGCCAACGCAAAAGCCAGTAAGTGTAAACACGCATGGATCCACTTCATCACCAACTTGCTGCAAGTCCAGGTCCAATGAAGTCTGAAGATGATGATGGCTATTTAAGGATAAAAAGGAGAGAATATGAGCACAGTTTGAAATGTACACTTCCACATTATGAAAGAAATTATAAAATAGGAAGTCAGTGTTTCTCGGGGCAATTAGGAAGTCTAATCTAATTTATACCTACTTAAAACATGGGCCTAGACTTGTAGCCTAGAGGAGGGCTGACCAAGCTCTACTTTTGTTTATCTACTGACAAAATTGTATGACTATGAGTTATGTTGAAATAATACAAAGCAAATTATATCTTCCTCATTGCTTGTTCGGGTACATTCGTTAGTTTTACATTCCAATTCCTTCATAACAACTATTTTGAATGGAATCATTGTTTTCTGTCAGTGTCATAGTCCTACTTTTTAATGAGCAACAAGAAATTACAGCTTTGGAGACTACAGGTTTATTTTTAAAGTTTTGGTAAGTTTTTGAGCAACGATACTATCCAAGTTTTTCCCGTTTTAGATTTTTGAATGCAAGCCAAACGTGCACAACTTTGGAATTATTTGGCAAGAGTAGCTCACAGACATGAAAACATGTCTCACCAGATCCTTGGAGAAAAACCAAGCCAACCACCATCAGGAGAGGATGCCAGTTGAATTCTGCGGAGCCTCCATCCCAGGCCAGCCCTTCCCTGTAGTGTAGGACCCATATGAGAGTGAAGATAATGCACAGTATCCCGGTGATAGCGGCAGCGCACAACGCGACCAGAAACGCTCCAGGTTTCTCCATAGTTTTCTCAAACAGCTGCTGTTGTCACAAGCGGAGATCTGGAGGATGGCGCTGGTCACGTGGCACAGAGGTGGGCGTGGGAGCCATCATGTTTGGTAACTTCAAGAATCTGTCAAAATAAATTAGAGTAGACGTTATGTAGCATGCGTCACGCAGACGTGCGGTTTGCTCAGCTCAACATTGCGCAACACTTGTGCTGAGTCCAGTGGCGGCTGGTGGAATTTTCTACTGGGGGGGCTATGAATATGATGACTAGATATATACCAGCAGTAAGTAAGTTTACACTGACTGTTGTGACTGAAGCCTCACACGAGAATCAACAAGGTCACATGATGCTTTCTGATCCCTACCCTGTAGCTTTCATCCAGCTGGGATGAAATATTTATCTTCCCAAACATAGCTAATTTGAGGGCATTTTGCATGTGGATAGCAGTCTGCTCATGCTTCTTTGCCTTTTCTAAAAAGTGCTTCAGATCAGTCATACCTGTCTTGATCCATGCTGGGTCAGATCCTGATGTTTGAAACAAGAGGCATGGAAAGCAAAATAAAGCATTGGCCTCGCTACATGCTGCTAGCCAAGATTTGGCGCTGAACCAGGTCCTGGAAAAAGTACGAGTGTACCGTCTCCCCCTGTCGCTGGACTGCTGACTAATGGTAATATTTGGCTGATCAGGTCCAAGCTCTTTAACCTCAACCTTCTCCTGGTATGATCTTCTCTCAAACGGTATTGTTTTGAGTGATCTAACTGAATTATTCTTTTTCTCGTTCTCCATTTTGCGTCTCTTTACGTTCGTCTCAAACTCCCACAGCTTGACCTGTCAATCACTGTAAACGGACGTCACAGACAGTGACAGTACAGGTCGCGGGCGATCCCGCCCCCTCAGGGCGCACTTCTCCTGCGCCCCCAAATCGTCTTATCTCTTGCATTGAAGAGGAGCTACTGCGCATGTACAACTTTTAACGAGAGTCCATAGACGGCTCAGGGCGCAATCTTTTGCGCCCTGAGGCGGAAATACGTCCTCAGTCCGACACAGACAACGCTGATGAGCTTAATCAATCCAACTCAGCATAAACTATAAAGTATTTCTTCCACATCTGAAATAAAACACACATAAATTTCGAAATATTTTAATGTTATTATTTTTTTTTAACGTTTTATTCAAGGTAACATGGAAAGTTGTGAGTGGTGCGGCGCCCTAGCGCCCTCTATTGGCCGGCCGCCACTGGCTGAGTCTGTCAAACAGCCGCAAATCTTGCACACTTATTAAACTTGTTATCTTACTCCAGTTCACCTCACACCACCCCGTCTGAGGGACCCGTTACAATGCAACACGGCTCTGCAAAAGCAACAGATGAGTTCAAATCATCCTAAACATATTAAATAGTACTTTAAAACTATCAAAACAACAAAGATGTCAGTCATGACAGAGTTTATGATATTGGATTTGTTTATTTTTGAGGGAAGGGAAACCAATACTTCATCGAGCTGCTCATCGTTGGACAAGATAATGGGTATAGGGTACTTTTGGTTTCTACACTGCAAACACTGAATATATAAACTTCTGTATAGTCTTATGTAGCTGCAAATATTCACTAGTCAGATAATTATGACTAGTTGCACACAGTTTTAAGAGTAGACAATTGCTTTGCCAATGAAATAAGTGAACTAATTCACAAAGAAATTTTGTGAATTATATTTTGTATAATTCACAAATAATCTATTTTGTATCCCATTGGCCAAAAGTTCTTTGAAATCAAAACAAAATGTTGTGTTGAAATTTGTCAGAAACAGCTTAAAGCAGGGGAAAGAGTCAAAACCCTGAATTCAGGTCAAGTCATTAGATGCATTTGTTGAAGTGTAATAAGAAATCAAAGATGTCTGACAAATGTTGACCATGATGCTCGCTTACTGAGATCCCCCAAGTCACGAATGACTCAACAAGATAAAGATCTACTCTCATTTAGTATCCTCTCAGCGTGATGTGCTTCGTCCTGAACACCACATCACTAATGTCTGTGTTTGCTTTTGGAAACACCGCCAGCTCCTCCTCTTCTTCTTCCTCTTGTGCAGCCAACTCATGAATGTCTAGGTCCAGAGCAGTGTTGTAATCCTGGGATTGTAATCATATCCTCCGACAGCTTCTGTAAGTTCTGCTCCAGGATCAGCTGGCTGTTTAAGTACTCAGTTGCTCTCGGTGGACCTGATGAAGCATCTCCTTGAGGACTTCTCGTACCTCTCTGTTGCAGGCAGGAGTTTTTGTACTATTTATCATATGGTTGATCTGTGGTTCATACACCCCACTCCAAAAGGCCTCAGTCTCTTGTTTCCCCTCGCACTCGGCCTGTCTGAGCTCAGTCACCTGATCTTTCAGACATTTCTCTTCCTCAATTACTGTATCCAGGAGGGCCTGGGTTTGTTTGTTTCATTTTATCACCTTTTCATTGAGTTCAAAATTGACTACCTTAAGGTCTGCTATCTACACCCACACAGCCCCTCTGGCTTCCTCCATTTGTGCACTAAAAGCTGAAGCCTTCATCTGAGGTGCTCATTCTGCACATACTCACACTGTACTTGGTCACGTGCTTTGAAGGCCCTTATTTGCTCCTGCTCACTCTGAAGCTCCATTTTATGCTCCTCTATCTGCTGTAGCAGACCTGTTTGGGAGGTCTGAGCCTCTTTGGTGGCCTGCTTCTCCTGGTCTAGGGCAAATATTAGAGTGGACACTTGAGTCTTTAGTTTGCGCGACACTCTCTCCTTCTCCTACCTTTTGCTCACAGCTTCATTGGTGAGACACTTCTCTCGGTCCAGGGCAGATGTAAGTGTCCACTGTTGTTGACAACTTGTGCATCTCTGTCTGTAACTGCTCCACATGTCCCTGTGCTGTGACTGTGGCCTGGTCTTTTTCACTCAGACCTAACTGGAGTTGGCTCACCTGACTCCTCAGGAGCTCCTTCTCCTACAGCTCCTGTTGGAGAGCTGAGACCTAGTTCCTCAGAGCAGTCTCCTGATTGGACTTCTCTGACATTATATCCAGGATCTGCACTTCTCTTTCAGTGAGATCATGTATATCATTCTCCACAGTTTCCCTGGCTTACTTCACCTGGACACAAAAAGCTTTATTTTCAAAACTCCTTATTACCTTGTCGCTTTGAATCCGCTGATGCCTGTCCTACTGTATTCCCTGAGTGTTTCAATCAAGGTACCGTCACCGTGACTCAGGAGGAAGTCAGGTGTGTCTTGTCCAGGACCACAGTCCGGAAAGCCCCAGGCCCGGACGGCATCCCTCCTCGTGTCCTGAAACTGTGCTCTGAGCAACTTGCCCCTGTGCTAACAGACATTTTCAACCTGTCGCTAAGGAACTGTACTGTGCCAAACTGCTTTAAAGAGTCGACCATCATTCCAGTTCCTAAGAAAACTCCTGTGACATGCCTGAATGACTATCGTCCTGTGGCCCTCACGTCTGTTCTTATGAAAACTTTTGAGCGGCTTGTGCTTGACTTCATTAAGAGCCAGATCCCTGTGAGTGTTGACCCGCTCCAGTTTGCTTACAGACAGAACAGGAGTGTGGAGGATGCCATCTCCTTTGTTCTGAACTCTGTCTACAGTCACTTGGACACTAGTAAATCTGTCGCGAGAATGCTTTTCATCGATTATAGCTCTGCTTTTAACTGCCTTGTCCCAGGTAAACTGATTGAAAAGCTCATGTCTCTCGGTTTAAGTGTTGCCATGTGTAAATGGATTTTTAGCTTTTTAACTGACAGATCTCAGAGAGAGTGAAAATCAATGACTGTTTTTCTGATGTTGTTTCTGTGAGCACTGGTTCTCCTCAGGGATGTATTTTGAGTCCTTTGCTTTTTACACTGTACACTCACGATTGTGTGTCCTCCTCTGACTCAAACTTCAGAGGATCATTAAATATGCTGATGACACCACCATCATCGGTCTCATCAGTAACAATGATGAATTATCTTATAGAGCAGAGATACAAAATGTGGTTCAGTGGAGTAAAACTAACAACCTCCAGCTGAACGCATCCAGAACATGTGAACTGGTCTACGACTTCAGTCGCAATAGTTCTCATTTGCCTGTCGTAATCGACAACTCCCAGGTGCAGATCGTAGAGGAGTGCAAGTTTCTGGGTTTAACTCTGTCTAACGACCTGAAATGGGTTAAAAAGACTGACCGAGTCGTTAAGAAAGCTCGTCAGCGTCTCTACTTTCTGCGTAAACTTAGAGAATTTACCACTAACTCTAAGATTCTGCTTAACTTTTATCGCTGCACCATTGAGAGTTTACTTGTTGGTTCTGTGTCTGTGTGGTTTGGAAACATCAAAGATAAAGAAAAGAGAGCTTTAAACAAGGTGCTCCACTCTGCAAAGAGGACCGTGGGCTGTGAGCTTCCTGTTCTGGAGGTTCTTTATAAATCCAGACTTTTAAACAAAGCTCTTAGGATTGTCAATGACTCTTCTGGTCACCCTGGGAAAGCCATGTTCCAGCTTCTTCCCTCTGGCAGAAGATATCGCTCTCTGAGATACAGGACATCTCGTTACGCTAACAGTTTTTATCCACAAGCTGTTATTAGCTTGAACAGAGCACTTTAAATGATTTGCACTTGTTTTGAAACTGTTTTAGTCGATCGATTTCACAGTGACATTTGTTTACTGTTTTATTTGTTTTATTTTTGTCTTTTAATGTTGTTTTATGTCTGTATTTGTCTGTGCACACTGGAGACTTTTGCTTATGTATTCCAATGTGTGTTTTTTTTTTACTGCAAATGGCAAATAAACTGAATCTGAATCTGTCTTTAGGCTCTTTCCAGTGCTTATTATCGACGCACTCCATCCAGGGCTCGCACTGAGCCTGGTGACGAGATTTGAAGAGATCTCCCCTGGATTTCTGCACGAGCCTTAAAACACGCTGCCAACTCCCACTTTACCTCACGTCCCTGCTCTGTCTGGGATTTGAGGTACAACAGGCATTGGAGAAAACAAATGCAATCACTCTCACTGGACGTTCATCAGGAATCACAAGTATTTCACAGCACGTTATTGTCATATCGAATGTAAAAAGAAAAAACTCTGACTTGAATTGGCTAATAAAGGCTACTCTTTTGTTTATGTCTTTATTCAAGTCCGTTTTTTACAGTGTATATTATGATTCCTGATGAACGTCCAGTTATCACCACAAACCGTGACTACTTTTGTTTCCTCCAACTTATACCTTTTGTCCCCTATACAGCAGTGGTGTAACGGTGTGGGGGATATTTTCTTGGCACTCTTTGAGTCCTTTAGTACCAATTGATCATCATTGCCACGCCACAGCCCACCCGAGTATTGTTTCTGACCATGTCCATCCCTTTATGACCACAGTGTATCCATCTTCTGATGGCTACTTCCAGCAGGATAAAACACCTTGTCATAAAGCTCAAATCATCACAGACTGGTTTCTTGAACATGACAATAAGTTCACTGTACTGTAATGGCCTCCTAATGGATGTGCATCCGACAAATCTGCAGAAACTGCATGTTGCTATCAAATATGCACCAAAACTATGAAATGTGTCCAGTACCTTGTTGAATCTATGCCACGAAGGATTAAGACAGTTTCGAAGGCAAGTACAAGCAAGGTGTACCTAATAAAGTGGCCGGTGAGTGTATATTAAAGGTGAAGGCCATCTTTTATTTTTTAAGCTGAATTTAGTTATAAATTAAATGTATGAATAATAATAAAATTGTAGATTTATTGTTTAGTTTGTCATAGAAAGTGTACATATTATAGTAAAACCACACTTTAACAGCTTGGATATGAGACATCAGTCACTTCACAGCAGAATCAAGTTTGTAAACATGACAACAGAACATGGTCTTCTGCTGCTCAATGTGCATAATGGTGTCTTTGTCAAACAGCAGCTCATGTCGATAAGTCTGGAACAAAATGGAATTAAAAAACAAAATTAAAGCTCACTCATAGGCTGAAGCTCACCTCATCCCAAGACTCCGTCAGATCAATAGTTCGAAGTAGTTGTCCGTTCTGATTGTCATAGAGCCGGACCTGTGCTCTTCCCTCCTCTCCGTTTGTGACAACCACAGCTAAAATGTCTAGCTCATCCTCGTACTCCACCTTCCTGAAGGTCTGTCAGTTACAGATTTGATCAGACACAAACAAACACTTTACAATAAAATGTTGGTGCACACCTCTCGCTTTGGGTCATCGTCAAGCTGATGCTGGAATCTTCTTTTTACAGTACGCCCTGATGAGGTCACAGTCACCTGAGGCAATCGCTGCAGCACAGTTATATTTGTTAGTAATGAAAGAAAGAACATTTTAAATTTATATTATCAATAAAACCATAAAAACTATTCATACACTTATCTGTTCATCAATCGTAATAGAGAAATCTTCCATTATCTTTGAGCGAGCACAGTTGTTCACATCGCTGACTATTTTAAGCACTCTAGAAAGGGGGAAAGACTGTTAATACAAGCACATGATTATCTAGTATCTGTGCATGACAATATGAGTTGAGTGTATTTAGATTTGTACTTACTCAATTTGTTTTGGCCCAAAATGTATGATCCGTCCAGTATCATCAGGATGAAATACTATTTCATCCATCTCCAATGCACTGCATTTCATATTTCGGATACCGTTTGTTGCCTACATAACAAAAAGGTGTCTTTAAACCAATGACTTTACATGTTGGACTATTCTCACTTGTCTTGAACAAAAAAGACTGATAAACAACTACTTAAAGAAAAAAAGCTATACGTCATTATTGTTACATCCAATAGAAATTTGGCCAATCCATGAGCTCAGAATACTTACAAGATTGGAGTCTTTAAGAGAGCAGATGTGATGAGTCCCAGAATGCTTCTTATGAGGAGGTGTGTGAATGAAGTGCCAGGGATGACCGATCTGAATGCCAGAATCAGAGCAGGACACCTCAAAAAGCACAGGAAGGGAATCTGTGCAATACAAAAAAATATGATTAAAGTGATTCCATTATTTAATAATGTAATAAATGACCCAACAACATACCTGTAATGTGCACGTTGATTGGAATACCAAAAGGGAATTCCCCAACCTTCTTTCCACCAAGAAGTGGGCTTTGCTTTCCTAAAGTTAAATTGTCTGTGGTGTACTAAAAATGGAGAAATGTGTTGAGATCCATGGCATTAAGAGTATATATCCAACAATACAACTACAACCACACCTTCTGAAAAATATGCTCAGAGCTGTACAACCTCACAGACTTGTTGCTATAAGACACCGCGAGCACACCCTGAGACAGCACCACATCACTCACACTGCTTCCAAATACCTGGAATAGCATGCTTATTATCAAATGACAAATATAATTTAATAAGACTTAAAAACATACCTTCTTATTAATCTCTATTATGCCCACAATTTGTAGAGGGAAAGCTGTGAAGACAGCAAGATGCATCAAGGTGTTATGTGTGATACCAGCCTATAAAATGTTCACAAATATATTAAAGAAAATACCACAATCAAGATGTATCTTAATAAATTGTGACCTTACCTGCCGTTCAGAGGCAGATTCTTTATTCTGTATTGTCTTTACGTACAATACTTCTTGAGAAACATCCCATCCGAGGTATCTAAAAAATATATACAAAGTTAAAAAGTAGTTAAATTAGGTGTGGATAATATTAATGAAACATAATGAAGCTATACCTAAATTTATGTTTCGGGGAAAGGTAAATTCTCTCTAGCTCTTTGCCTGTATGAGCTGAGAGACGATAAATCCAGTTATTAGCAGTTAACACAAGAAGATTAGGTTTTTGATCCATAGGCGTTTCCAGAGTTCTGTCCTGAGGAAGAGGAACACAGATGTGTTTGAATGTTTTACATTATTCATAAAAATATACATAATATATTTTTGACTTACGAGAGGAGTCTGACACAGTAAGGCATCTTCAAATTTATCCTGTTTAGAGCGTCGTGTCAGTTTATAAAGAAGATACGGGTCCACGTGAAGGCTGAGACAAGAACAATCAGAAAACATGCAAATCCCAGTTCCATACAATCAGTAAATACACAACACACCAGCTGTAACAGTCCTGATAGTTTTCAAAGTACATTTGTCCAGCTTCACTTGTTATTGTTGATTTTGAGGATTTGCACCACACTTTGGAATATGTTCTAGTGTCCTGAAAATGAGAGATGAGGGGAGGGGCACATATACAGATAATAATAATGAATTGTTTTCTTTGTACAGTGCTTTTTTGGACACTCAAAGACGCTTTACATGCCATTATTCTTTCACTCCATTCCTGGCGGTGACAAACTACTACTATAGCCACAGCTGCCCTGGGGCACACAGACAGAAGCTGGGCAACCAGTACGTGCCATCTGCCCCTCTGACTACCACCAACCATTCACGCACACACCAGACTCATTCCGGGAAATGTGGGTTCTGTTGTGTCCTAAGGACACTTTGGCACATTACAGCCACAGCTGCCCAACTGTAGTACCTGATATGCCCACAGGTCTCCCATCATAGCATTAACAAGGCTCTGCCCTGCTTAGCTTCAGGGGACTGGCGGGATCTGGCTTTCACATGCACGTATGGCCAAAAATACATAATGCAATTTGTTGCGGCAGCTATTACCTGAAGGATTACGCCTCTGAGAAGTTTCAGATTGCTCCTGTTCACAGCGCCAGCATCCTCAGCCTTGCAGCTTCTCTGGATCAAAACATCTACTGCATTTGAACATCGCTTTCGCCTCGACAGCGCCATCTGCCGGTGACCAGTGTCCACTAGCCTCAAACTAGCACCACATCATCGGGCACATGTAGGCAAGTGTTCAATCTGGGTAAGCGCGACTTTACTTCTATTTGAACGTGAACAAATATATTGTAGCGAAATTAGTGATCCGAATTGTTTTCCCGGTCTGTGATAGCTTGTTTTACATTTATAATCCCGTGACAAATGCACTCTACAGTGCAAAGTATGCTAGCACATTTCTGTTATCGACAAGAAAATGGCAAGATATGCTTTGGATAACTGTTAAGAAAAGGAAAACAAAACATAATGTTTGCAGAAATCGAGAAAGATAAAAGAAAAAAATAACTAAATGAAACTAATTTGCCTTTGTTGTCATCTGCCATGAGATTCGTCTTCTTCTGCTAAATACCATTCAGGCGAGCAGGACATGGCACGCGCTGCGTAATGCTGCCACCTACAGATAGAAAATACATTGAACAAGAATGAATGCTCAACATTGTCTTTCTTTGTAATTTATATTTTATTTGGCATTTCAAAACCTGTTATGAAACGATTATTTTTTTAAAATAGAAACGTCATTAGTGAAGAAAAGGGAGCATCATAGTTATTCCTAATATTTGGCACAGTATTCAACACACAGACATTTTGATTTACATGATGTTGGTATGTTAAATGTATATATTTATATTACTATACGTATAAACTTATTATTATTATAACTTATAAACGTATTATTATATTTCTCATGAATTTGTCAAATCATGTTTTCTCGTCCTTGTTGTGTTATCTAACTTGTAATATGTTTTATAAACAGATCATGCGTTTTTCCAAGTTGGCAAAAAGTCTCAAGAGACTATGTTTAAGGAGAAACTGCAGTAACAGTCGACCTGCTGCTCCTCTGGGATCAAGAGTTTTAACAAACCCCAATGATGTATTTAAACATAATATGTGGTAAGTTGTTATAGAAATACTTGGGCTGTACTTGGATCCCCAGTCAATCTTATTATAGGAAATAAGATTGACAGGGGGTCCAAATAACTATTCAATAGTAGAGGAAGCACTGCTGTACAAGCAACATTTTTCTACTAAAATATAATATACATATCTATATGTATATGTATATATAGATATGATATATTTCCCAAAATGGATCATCATTATAGTAACAATTCTTGTTTGTTATCATTTTGGTTCCCAATACTATATTCACTTTTTCAGGGACCATGTGCAATGGACAGAAATGGATGAAAAAAATGCCAGACTCTTGGCAGAAGAAAACTCCAGCATACGAGTTCCTGGGAATGAACAGCGTAAGTCTAGCATATTCCTCATTATGTATGAATGCTTAACTAAAAAGTAATGTATTCACAGTTAAATTTGACAGAGACGCGGGACAAATATGGGACACGTTTTACAAGACGCACCAAAATAAGTTCTTTAAAAATCGTAAGTGGCTGTTTGCAGAATTTCCCGAACTGTTCCCTTCAGGTCAGACCAGGATTCCCCCGTCTGAACGCTGCGGTGCATCTGAAGAAAACACATGTGATTTCACTACGAAGGGTCATAAAGGGGACCTACAGGCCACCTTCCCTGGGCAGCATGCTGCTTTTAGGATTCTAGAGGTTTGATGATGATTCCAATGTTATATCAGAAATATATCACACAATTCCGTATTATTTCCCCTCATTTTAACTTTAGGTTGGCTGTGGAGTTGGCAACAGTGCATTTCCAATTTTGAATTCATTAGAGTAAGTATACTATTAGTTGTTAAAATGTTATTATATAACATACAATTCATGTGTCTTTTCACAGGGGGACAGATTCGTATATGTATTGTTGTGACTTCTCTTTAAATGCTATTGAGCTGATGAAGGTATTCTTTATATTATGAATTAAATTCATATGAATGTATTGACTATGCATGTAGCATATGGCACAAGGAGAGTAGAAGATTTGTATTCAGTGCAGTGCAGTTACATCACTTCCAAATAACTGCTTTCAACTACACATAACACATAAGTTATTTTTCATGTTGCAAGTTTCTTTGTCATCATATTAAATATAGAACTTAATTTAACCGTGTACAACTGAATTGGCTGAAGTTAATAATAATAATGCATTGGTTTTATATAGCGCTTTTTTGGACACTCAAAGATAGATAGATACTTGATTGATCCCCAGTAGGAGAAATTCAGGTGTCCAGCAGCAGAAGACTCTTTTTGTTGTCGTACAGTCAGTCAGTCTGTTGCTTCACATGCCATTATTCTTTCACTCCATACACAGTGATAATAAACTACTACTAGCTCATCCTCGTACTCCACCTTCCTGAAGAATTGTGATTTCTTGATTGTGTATATTGGAGATGATTTTACAATGAGAAAGCAGAGTGAGCGTCCCATGATTCTGTCATTTGCGTTGCCAGTTTCATTTGGCAAAATCCAGCTGTTCTGGTCACTGCCTAAAGCTCATAAGTGTTGCACAAGCAGTGGACGACAGGTTTAGATTGTATTTGTTGTAATCTTATTGTAAAACTCGTCAGAGAAAAACTTCCTGTTCCTTTTTTAAGTTTAAAGGAACAGTGAGTTTAAAGTTTAAACTAATATTTCCCAAGCCCGCACTGATAAAGAGCAGGTGATTGTCTGGCCAGCCACAATGATTATCTTTATCTGTATTTCACTGGAGAAGGTCTGGTATACCCCCGACAGGCCCTGCATGTAGTTTTGTGTGACATTCTTGCTTCAAAAACATTAGCGACTAGTGTAGGTCTGTTTTCTCATTTATTTTATAATGAAACTACTTGCAACTACATGGCTACAGTTCAGGTTTTTGTAATATCAGTAAGTTACTTCTCCAAACTGTGTTAGGATGATACATGCAAATTCTATGGTATGAGATATATTGTGTGATAACATTAATATCACACATTAACACACATTTTTCCATGTATAGATCATGCTTAGCTACATTTGTCTCTTACTTCCACAGGCCCATCCTGACTACAATGCCTCCATGTGCCATTGTTTTGTCCATGACATTTGTGATGAGGAGGCCCCCTTTCCCTTCCCACCTCAGAGCCTGGATGTTATTCTGGCCGTCTTTGTCCTCTCTTCTATTCACCCAGAGCGGTAGGTGAAGGTCAGGAGACAAAGACATGAGCGCATGTCATTTATCACCTGCTAAACCCACCAGCCATGTGTTCATCGTATCTGCTCCACCACCACAGTCCTCTTCAGTGTTGTTATACTGATTACTTCATGAACACAATATGCCATTCGCACTAACCTCCATGTTATTGTGTTGGATAGAGTGCAAGGAGCTGTTAACAGACTATCTACGTACCTCAAACATGGAGGAATATTTCTTTTCCGAGATTATGGAAGATATGATTTGTCGCAGCTCAGATTTAAACAAGGTATGTCAGATTTACATAAGACATGTCCTCACACATTGTCCCCCCTTATTATGTGACGTGGTAAGTTTTTGCTTCCAGGTCGCTGCCTATCAGAGAATTTCTACACTAGGGGAGATGGCACCTGTGTTTATTATTTCACTAAAGGTAATGTTATGAAAGCTCTTGATTTTGTTAGTCTGGAATAGTGGTAAATCATACATTATCTTGCAGAGGAGATTCAGAAGCTATTTGTCAACGCTGGACTTGAAGAAATTCAGAACTTGGAAGATAAACGTCTCCAAGTGAACAGGGGAAAGAAAGTTATCATGCGGCGAGTGTGGGTCCAAAGTAAATTCAGAAAAACATAAAGGTGTGTTTTAGTCAATGTTTGTTAATTATGTGTTTAATAAATGTGCATTAAACATATTTTCATATAAATGTCAAATTTTTTGGTTTCATTGAAAAAAAGAGATGCTGTATTTTTATGATTATATTTTTTTTTTAGATTGGGAATGAAAAATATATTATTATTAAACTTTATTACAGACACGAAGTCCAGATTTAATCAGGTATTGTCCTGTAAGCAACGTATGTGTGTGTTGTTTGTATAGAGAGCATGATGCAGGTCTTTTAGTGTCCACGTGCACTGCTATTTTTCTGGCTTTACGTATAACTTCCACAGACTACCATAGTGTATGCAAACTTACTGACAAATATATGCATCTCTCTGCTTTATGGCGAGGGGAAAAGTCGCGATAAGATTTTGCACACGAAGCATGACGTTTCACAGCTTCACTTGAAGACGGAGGTGACTGGAGCAGGACGCACTGTTGAGGTGTGAAGAGGTTTGTGCCCTAAAATAGACAAAAGAAGACAATCTGCCCAATATTGCTTGTTCTGTCTGTGTGCACGAAACTCTGGCACACTCCCGGGTGATTTCCACAGTGATAAACACTCTTGAAGCGTGAGACGGCACCTTTACACCAAAAGTAGCTTGATGAGTGTCCAAAGTAGTGGAAGTTTGGAGGGGACGCCATCTTTGGTCCCAGCTCTCCACGTCCCTCAAGCGGACTGTGTTTTCAGCAACATACCACGACAGGGGTGAAGGCCTGGGAAAGGTATCGTCAAAGATTTTAGTCGTCATCTACCTTTTCTTGATAGTCGTCGAAGACATTTTTAGCAGATTATGCGCGGAATGGATTGCAGCGACTGAGTAAAGCTTGGCGACGAAACCTGCTCGCTAGCTAATGTTACTGTCAGCTCCAAAGTCCATTGATGCTTTGGCTGTTAGCTATTAGCACTGAAGACACAGGACGACTGTCTACTCAGGCCGGTGCAGAAGCCAAACAGCCGTGCTTTATTACGGTGGATAAATGTGGATCATCGCTAGTTTTGTTTTGCTTTGCTTTTGTCCGCGCATCCCTCATCCTGCAGACTCCCGCTGGCTGCTATTGCTAACACAAGTTGTGTCGATGTAAAGTTATGCAATGGAGATAATGTGCATTCTTTTGTGCCGTATACACCTATATCACAGATTTGGTAACGTGCAATAACCGGGATCAGACCATTGAGTATGCAGGCTTTGTTCTATTGCTTGATGTGTTGTAGTTTACCGGTGTGCATGACCTTAATCCCATTGCACTTCACTGTCTGTATAATTGCCATGTTCAGGTATTGTCCTGTGCTCGGTTATTAGCTGGAGACACCACTGCAGTGCTGGCAAGTAGCCTTATCTGACCCCCAGGAACTCATAACTGAAGCAGATTGTTCGTGAAGATGGCAGTGTGGAAGTATAGTTTCCCTTCTGGGTTATGACCTGGACATGAGTTTGTTTGGTGATTTGTAAAGTGCAGATAAATGCTGAACAAGTCAACTTAAATAATATTGTCATCTAGCACTGAATCTTCTCGCCACATTTGAGAACTTTTAGGTGGGTCTTTTTAAAAGTGTTAGTCTGAAATCCATCTTTTTGGGTAATGAGTGAAGAGTACTTTATTGTCTGAGTGCTGTTCTGGACATTTGTGCTGTTTTATATTTGGAGTGTATTTACTGAAACACAATTTTAAATGGAAATACTATAAATTGAAGCACCTGTGATGAGTGTGGTGGAACATGTTCCTCCCTTTATGTACTGAAATGTAGCAACAAGTCAAAACAGGACTAGTATTTCGATAAGGGTATTCCATATCCTATATTCTTTGAAATGGACACTTTAGTTGGAGGTCCCTGCAGTCACCAGTGTTTGGGATCTGCAGGCTTTTGTACTTTCAAAATGGTGGTAGTTTGATTAAAGGCCAGGTTTTGGCAGGAGCAGTGAGTGAGCAGACCCCTCCAAGTCTGCAGCAGCACAGTGAGCTCACGTAACAGTCCCTCCGGAGCAGTGCATTTATCATTGCCTGCAGTTGAAACATTGCTCCTGGATTCTCAGGATAACACAGTGCTGATACATTTCCTCTGTGTCTATTCAACTCCGATATGAACTTTACTACCACAGTTTGAATAATGGCCCTTCTCATACAATGGCCAGCAGTGTAAACAATCTGACTTGCTATCATTGTCTGGCTGGAACTATGTGATGTGTCATGTTTGTTTGATGCAGAGACTAAATGTGTATGTGTGTTCTTCCGCAGGCACTATGGAGGAGCTGCACAGCCTGGACCCTCGGAGGCAGGAGCTGCTGGAGGCACGTTTTATGGGTGGGGTCAGTGGTAACACTGGAGGGAGCACTGGTAGTCAGAGCGGGGGAACCAAAGTGAGTGAGGATTTAGTTAAATCATGTACAAAAATTATAATAGAACTTTAAAACAAGCAAGAACTTGCATGTGCAAGCTTAACATATCTTGTTTTTAGGGTTTGCCCAACAATGAGTGTTCAAATCACAGTTTTGGAAGCTTGGGATCCTCAAGCGACAAGGAGTCAGAGGTACAGAATTTCATGCAAATGGGGGCTGGGCCGAAAGGCGTTAAATATCCAATTTTGAGCTAATTTCTGACAATCTTATTTTTTGTGTGAATTTTATTGTTATAATGATGCTATATTCAAACTATACTTTTCTCCTTTATCAGTCAGTCTCTGTAGCACTCTTGAGTTGATTATTGAATGTAAAGGTACCCTAAAAAGGGAGCTTAATCATTTGCCAAATGCCAAAGGGCACTAAATGCTATTAATGAAATTGAGGATTCTATCATTGTTTTTTCTCCAAAGTTATTAATGATAGCAATGTTGTTATTTATTATTACAACCCTCAATACTGTATACCTCATTGCCTCCTTCTGTTGTCTTTTTCTCTACAGGGGTCAGAAATGAAAAGGGGCAGTTCTCCTGCGTATTCGGTAAAACAAAATGCATACATATAGTCACTCAAATGTTAGGACGACTGATAATTCTAAGCATTTTCTTAACAGACCCCAGAGAAGAAATCCGAAACAAGCAGAGGAAGAAAGCGAAAACCTGATCTCCAATCAGAAAGCAGCCAAGGTGAGATTATTAAGACACAAAGATGTCCCTGTTTTTTCTCAGGTAACATTTCTTTTCTAACATCCAGTGTTCTAATTTTATAGGAAAGACAATTTCGCGAGGACCCAAAATAAGCGACTATTTTGATGTAAGTTTCATCAGTACAAAGACTATGGGACTGCGTCCTTGTCTAATGGTTTATGCTTCTTGTGTTGACTGGAAAGTGACCTTTGTGCTCTTTTGTGACATAAAGTTTCAGGGGGGAAATGGGTCCAGTCCTGTGAGGGCTCTGCAGCCCATGCTCCGCTCTCCCCAGAACTCTCATTCCCACTCTGCTCAGGGCACCTCTGTAAGTTGCGCTTTGTTTGGCTTTGTGCAGCTCTCTTCAGGTACCGCATCATCTAGAAGTCTTTTCTTTTCCAGGTTAGACAAAATAGTTCATCTCCAACTAATCTGTCATTTTTGGACCACATGACCCATCCAAAGCAAGTGGCAGTAAAGTCCATTCAAGTGAGTGAAAAAACATATTTTTTAAAAATGTATAAAATACTAACTTTTCTTCTTTTACTGTTTTAGACGGACCTTACAGTGTTAAAGCTGGCTGCGCTTGAAAGCACTAAAAATCTTGACCTTGAGAAAAAAGAGGGCAGAATAGATGACTTGCTGAGGGTAAGCGAAAGACCCACCCATTGCAGTAGCACAAAATATACACACAGGTTTTCTAAACAACGAATAACACTGCCATTTTGGCTTCTAGGCCAACTGTGATCTCAGGAGGCAGATAGATGAACAACAGAAATTACTTGAAAAGTACAAGGAACGCTTGAATAAATGCATCACTATGAGTAAGAAGTTACTAATTGAAAAGGTCAGTGTTTGCTTTTTTACTGAATCCACAAATAAACAATTGAGTGATAACATGATTGACTTGTGCACAGAGTAACCAGGAGAAGCAGGCGTGTCGGGAGAAGAGCATGCAGGACAGACTACGCTTGGGCCATTTCACTACAGTCAGACACGGGGCCTCGTTCACAGAGCAGTGGACTGATGGCTACGCTTTCCAGAATCTTGTGAAGTAAGATCCATGTTTTATGTGTATTAGGGATGTACCGATCCGATATTCAGTATCGGTTTCGGGCAGATTGGAGCTGGATCAGGGTCAGATATTATGGCAATGAAAAGCAACATACCCCACTCGACCTATCACAGCCAAGCCTGAATCGCAAAACTTTCTGGGAAATGCAAAAACAACAACTGCACAATGTGTAGCGTACATGGATCTAAAGATTGTTTTTCAATGCCGTGTCAATGGTTATGCATGTCCGTGTGAGGATTAGCATGTGCGGTGGGAGAGGCAGCGGACACAGAGACCCGATGCATGCGGCGAAAGCAAGAGATGAACTTTTTCCTCCATGCGGCTATTAGAGAGCGGCCCCACTGAGCCGTCATGGGGACACAAAACATGAGATAAACCAGGACTAAACCAGGATTTCACCAGGACTAACTATGGGGGAGAATGCTTGTGAACATATTCTTCGAGCCTCATTCCCCGTGACTCTAAATAAGACTGCTAACGTGTGTTAGCCGACACGGCAAACGTATTTATTCAGGTAAAAATGCAAAATCTTTAATGCTTTGAAAATATTAGAAAAAATGGTATCAGATTGGTATCGGCAAAACAATATTTAAGAATATCGGAATCGGATCGGATTACAAAAAATCTGGATCGGTACATCCCTAATGTGTATCGTAATATGTATTACACTGTGTTTTATGAACATCCATGTGTAGACCTAAAAATCCTTTTGAGGTCTACACATGGATGTATGTATTAATCTGCCATTGAGGTGGGTTGTCTCTCAGGCAACAATTATATGGGCATCTTTATATTATGCCACAATTATTTAGAAAATACAATGCCACATGTGTGAATATACTCACAATGTACACAATGTTCTAATTGCAGACAACAAGAGTGGATCAACCAGCAAAGGGAGGACATTGAGAGGCAACGAAAACTACTTGCCAAGAGGAAACCCCCTTCTATGAGCAACTCTCAGTCACCGACCACCAACTCTGAGCCAAAGCAACGTAAAACCAAGGCCGTGAACGGAGCAGAGAACGATCCCTTTGTAAAACCCAGCCTACCTCAGCTGTAAGCCACAAGAATAATAACTAGAACCTTTTAATCACATCCTATCTAGACCCCAAATTTAAGCTTTGTAAGTCCCATAGTTTTTCCAAGTTCCTGCCCACAGACACACACGCATAAGGACAAATATGTTGGCAGGGATGCATTATGCATTGGTTTATTACAGAGCTTTTCGAGACATATGGCATTCACTCAGTAAACAGTGGTGGTTCAGCTGTGGCTACAGTAGTAGAACTGGGGCAGACTGACGGAAGCAAGCCTTCTGATCTGTGCAGCCGGCCGCTCTGACCACCACCAAACATGGTTGGACACACACTACATCAGGGACATTGTTACAGCTTTATAATAATGGCCATTTCCACTACATAACTGTTTGTCCTGTTTCCTACAAAGGCTTACACTAGCGGAGTACCATGAGCAGGAAGAGATCTACAAACTGCGGCTTGGACATCTCAAAAAGGTTTGTCATGTTATATTGGCAGAAATTTGGTTAATAGCCATTAACATTTATAAAAGACACAGATTAGGCTTGTGTGTTCACTGTGATCCAGCCTAATCAAGCCTTTGTCTTGGTTGAGACCTATTGTAGTGAATTGAGATAGAGGGGCTGGTCCTCTGTGAAGTCTGTCATTGTTTTTTAGATGAGTAGGCCGACCTGACAAACTGCACCAAGACGAGCATGAATCTTTAATGTGGGACTAGTCAGCTGTATACTAGTGGGTTTTGATGATCCACTCTCCTTGTAGTGGCGGCTCTGAAACTCTTCTGTGTGTTTGTGTATGTGCTTGAATCATTCATAGGAAGAAGCTGAGATCCAGGCAGAGCTCGAGCGTCTGGAGAGAGTCCGCAACCTTCACATTCGGGAGCTTAAGAGAATAAATAATGAAGACAGTTCACAGTAAGTCTCAGGCCACTGACAGTTACTGCACTGACATTGAGACAAGATGTATACATGAGGCCAATGGCATCGCTGACGGGTGATGTTGAATTATGCCTTATTCCACTTTGAAGGTCTAGATCAGAAAATATACTTTGATCGGCCAGAACTTTTATTTTGTGCCTGGTAATAATCAAGGTTTTATTCAAAATTATGATTAAAAGTACTTAAAAAAGACCTTATATTTCAGGGTTACCAATGTCCATAAATGTCAGACTCCACTGCATTAGAAAAAACCTCAACAGATAAAAAAATAAAATAAATATTACGCTTACTTGTCATTTTGTATTTTAAAGCAGGAATGCAGATCTACTTTTACAGCAAACATTGACCCGTGATCTACAATTCACATTCTGTTATCAGGAAAAAATAATTGAAGCCTAAATGGAGTAGTTTCAACATGTACTTAAACGTAGTGAAATTTCAGGTTCACTTTTGAAAATGCTCACAACCACTTTCTACTCCTTGAGGATGTGTTGAGCAGTAATCACGTTTGCGTACGCTGATCGGGGATCTGAAGGTGTTTATAAGGATGCGGGTCAGCTGCGCCCAGTGCGTGAACGCTGCTATCAATGGAGAAGTGTGTGTGGCACACAGTTTAGTACGCGTGTGGCAGACTGCCTCCATTCACTTTTCATGCTGGGGCAATCAAACGTGTGACCGTGGTTCACTGTGGATTAGTAAGCAGGCCATCCACCTGCATTCACCATTAACGTTATGAGCACTGGTGTGTTAGAGTAATAAGAAGTATTGCTCATGTCAGATTTATCTGTTCCCAGGTTTAAAGACCACCCAACGCTGAATGAGCGATACCTGCTGCTACATCTTTTAGGTAGAGGAGGTTTTAGTGAAGTTTACAAGGCAAGTAGACGCTCCCATGATTCATAATCACCAACTCTGAAGTCCCTGCTGTAACGGGTCCCTTTTTTGATTGTATGCAGGCTTTTGACTTGATTGAGCAAAGGTATGCCGCTGTGAAAATCCACCAACTTAACAAGAACTGGCGAGAGGAGAAGAAGGAGAACTATCACAAGTATGTGGGACAAAAGTCATTTTTAAACTATGTCTCATCTGCTGTACGTAATTGCTGTTTTATACGTTGTGATGGATTTGCTGCTCCAGTGAACATAGCTGCAGGTGGATTGTTGTTTTTCTCCATAAGCTTGAATGGTTCACTATCAGCTCTGCATACAGCACCTGCACCCTCCTGCTTAGGAAGCTAATCAAAGCATAATTGCCTCCCTCTCCAGGCATGCATGTCGAGAGTACAGAATACACAAGGAGCTGGACCATCCCCGCATCGTCAAACTTTACGACTACTTTTCACTGGACACCGACACGTGCGTACTCCTGTCTACTTTTATTTTCCCCCTCATGAGTACATTACACACTTTGACGGCCTATATTATTGTTTTTGCGCAGCTTTTGCACTGTTATGGAGTACTGCGATGGCAACGACTTGGATTTCTACTTGAAACAACATAAGCTAATGTCTGAGAAGGAAGGCCGATCCATAGTTATGCAAATTGTAAATGCACTTAAATATCTAAATGAAATTAAACCACCTATCATCCATTATGATCTCAAACCAGGTATGTTTTGTGAGGGAATAAACATGAATGCATTTAAGACAAACTAAGCAAAATACATTTATCCAATGCAGGGAATATCTTGTTGGTGGATGGCACAGCGTGTGGAGAGATCAAAATTACGGATTTCGGTTTGTCAAAAATCATGGATGACGACAACTATGGGGTGGATGGGATGGACCTGACATCGCAAGGGGCAGGGACATATTGGTACGTATTTTAAGCCATATTGATTTATGTTCAAAACATCTCAATCCCATAACATTTTTACCAAAAATTCCAGGTACCTGCCTCCTGAATGTTTTGTGGTCGGCAAAGAACCGCCAAAGATTTCTAATAAGGTGGACGTGTGGTCTGTGGGAGTCATCTTTTTCCAGTGTCTTTATGGAAGGAAGGTAAAATATTTAGATTCAATAATTGTACCAAGCATCATCTAATGTCAGTTACACCAGATCGAAACCTGGTCTTTCAAATTAATCAAATTTGACTAAAACAGATATAAATCTCCCACTGATGACTGCTGTCGTTGTGTCTTTGGGCAAGATACTTAACCCCACTTTTCCTGAAGCCCCCACTGAAAGATTAAGGCTCCTGTGGACTCACCACCTGCAGGAGGAACAGTGAGGGGCTGGTGCTCCGTGTACTGGGTGCAGCTCTGACTGACTGGGGAAGAAAATGGATGGATGGATGGAGATATAAAATGATTTACCTTCTGGGATAATAAAAACTAGAAGAATTGTGCAAAATGTTGTATTGTACTACAGTTTAGAAATACAGCTTTAAGGAATTTGGGTTTAAACTATTTAAATAAATAGGAATTTGTATTGCATATTTGTTTATATATTTATTGATGAAATCCATCCATCCATCCATTTTCTACCCTTTAATCCATTTCTGGGTCAGGGGGGTGCCAATCAGAGATGCCATCCAAGTCTCATAGCACCAGCCAATGTATTGATGAAATTGGGGTTATTTTTCTTGAGTTAGCAGGATCTCAGTCTTGCTTTGAAAATGTAGCAATTGTTGCTGTTGATGTAATGGAATTAAATAGTTTTGAATTGTTTTGTTTTCCAGCCTTTTGGCCACAATCAATCCCAACAGGACATCCTTCAAGAGAACACCATCCTCAAAGCCACAGATATACAGTTTCCTGTCAAACCCGTTTCCAGTAATGAAGCCAAGGTATGGCTTTTTCATTTGTTGGAAGATTTCTAGAAATATCCTTGAGTTTTCACATTTAAAACCTCTGCTCTTGGTAGGCTTTCATCAGACGGTGCCTGGCGTACCGAAAGGAGGATCGCATAGATGTGCACCAGTTGGGAAGCGACCCGTACCTCCTGCCTCACATGAGGCGCTCCAGCTCCTCCGGAAACCTCCACGTGAACGCTGCTGTGTCCACTGCCCCTTCCAGCATCATCTCCTACTGAGGCCTGCACACCCACCTGGAGGAAGCTGAAGGCGGCCGGGCCTCCCGACCCTGTGCCAGGCTTATATTTGTTTACCAGGGCAAGAGCACTTGATGAACTTGGAGCAAAGGACCATGTTGTTGCTCTCAACACAAGCACTGAAGTTGTACTATGAAGAATACACATTTCAGACGGTAAAAGCCTTAAGGACCGATGGGAGACCCGGCGGTTTCGTGTTGAAAGTGACAAAACATGAAGACCGTCTAGCCCAGAGTGCAAATTTTTATTGAGCTGCTAGAAATCTACTGTGAGAAAACTGTCATCTTCACATAGAACTACCAATGTTTCAAATTTGTTCTGTGTTCACAATTGTTTAGGCTTTAATTTGAGTTAGCCATAAGAATGTAATGTTTAGCATACAAATGTAGAATGGGGCTGCATACTTAACATTAAATGCACAAAGTAACCAAATGTAGAAAATAGCAATGTTCAATATCCTATGCAGGAATAATGATTATCAAATTAATTGGAATCTGTATATGCTGTACAGGTGAATTTTCAAAATAAAATTGCAGCAGTAACATGTACAAAGTTCAGAAACGTCCCTGGCCGTCAGTTGCAGGGATTGATTTTGCTGCTTTGCTCTTATTTTTTTCAAGGGCTGAAAGTTACATTTCGGATACAAATTGTACAGGTCCGCATAGAGTGAATAAAATGCCAGGAAACTCTGCGTCAAAGTGTTTGAATCATGCAGACTTTTGTTTATTACAATTAAATAATCAGATATAGAATACAAAAATATTCATATACATTGTTTATAAAAATTATGTTGACTTGTAAACAACTACTACACAATTACATGGAACAAATGCAGCCGGTACAAACTCATAAGGAAAGTGGCTTGGTGAACGGATTCTTTGCCTCGTGCACTACTCTCCACTGAAAAACAAAAGGACTGATTGAATAGAAGGTTGCAAAGGAGAAGGGCCTGTTTGGAAAAGGCTGCAAGATGTCCGTAGACATTAAAAGTCTACAGACATGTTGATCTTCACTGAGCCTTCATGGTTGATGTCAATTCTGACAGCAGGTGTCTCACTGGGGCCCTGGTCAGGAGACTGCAGAACTGGGGAATAAAGAGACAAGTGGAGATTCAGTAAGAAATTAATTATAAAAGGTAGAGTACCTTTTATAATGACATAGTGCTGAAACTGTCCTTCTGTGTTTAAGTGAGACTTTTATCATCTGTAGATAATTCCAAAATGACACTGAGAACGGGGATCAACCATGTTCTAAAACAAATAAACCTACCAGATACATGGGGAGCAGGGAGCTCTACTACAGAGATGTAGTTTGATGAAACTTTAGGAACATCTGTATAAAGTAATACTTTAAGGACATTATGAACAAGGAAAACAATACACACATGGCCTTCATGTACAATGGAACACACCTGTCAGTGACGATCGACTCAGAGCTTCTGGCTCAGAACTGACACTAACACTGGTGCTGGACGGGTCCACAGCAGAGACTCCTGAGAGGGTAACCTACCGCACATCAGCACTAGGCCTTTGTTAAAGTTTGGGACCATTTAGACTTCAAATGTAACAGATACCTCTTTGAAGTTAGATTGGTGTTGAGGCAGAGACTCTGTGGAAATACTGTTCAGAAGTGTAGGTATTCTGTGCAAGTAACCATGACCAATGTGACAACCGAGGCTAGACAAAACAGAAGGAAAGATCAACACAAGCCATTTGGTCTGCAATGTAAAGATCTGAACATTAAGGCAGAATGTTTGTTTGTGTTGAGACAGGCATGTAAATATTGGTTGTATCAGAATCTACAGCATAAGAATATGTCAGGACAGAGTTCTGGTGTTAAGACAAAGCAGACATACAAAGAAGTTATAGGATCGTTTTATGCAGTATTCAATTTCACTAAAAAAGTCTTCTGAGCTTTAGTTGTGCAAGTTAATATTGTGTTTTTAGTGAGTTAAATGTGAAGAGTGAAGACACAGTTGAGACAGAGCAGTGATGCAGTCACAGCGCTGAGTGATTTATGGTTGATGGAAGTTAAATGGCGAATGGCCTCTTTAAGTGTTCCAGAGACGTCCATCATTCGATGACATTATTCTGTCACTGTATGATGTGCGCTCACCTTCCCTTGCCGCCCCACTCTGAGTCAGGGGTGATGAGCACCTCTCGGCTGTTGTCAGTGTCGGTGTTGTACACGTACAGCTTCAGCTGTTTGCCCTCACACCTCTGGATCAGAGAGAACAGTTCTTCACTCTGTTGGGGAACACACACTTGTCTAAATGAACCATAATGTCTCATGTATTACATGCATCTGTAGTGGCCTGACCTCCTTCACAGATGTGTCTGCCCCTATGATGTAGTCTGTGTGAGCTCTCAGTCCGGCCGCAGCTGCAGGAGAATGTGGATACACTTTCAGGATGTGCCACACATGCTCGTTCACCCCCTCAAAGCTGCCAAAGCGAATGGTGAGGCCGAGCAGGCCCTGGCCGCCCCACAATGTGCTGGGGGTGACGGAGGTCTCTCGAACACACTGAGTCTTACTACTGTACACTAACATCTGGACAGGCATCTCCACATGGGCCATCAGTACCTCCTTCAACAGGTCATTGTCTGTATTCTAAACCAACACAACATGAGTGTAGGACATCCATAGAGTTTATTATGAAACCATGTTTTAAGAATTACCAGTCTGGTGTCAGAAACAGAGATGATAAAATCAAAGAATGGCTCAAATCCTGCGATTTGTCCTGGAGAGTTTCCATGCACCTGCATCAGATCCACAGAAATAGAGGTTAAACAATAATTCAGGGAAAGGGTTTGTTGACATACTGTACAATTAAAACGGTCTAACAAAATAAACTCCATAAATAGGCCTAGTGCATGATTTGTAAACAAGTTCAAATAAACCTACATGTGAGTGACAAGACTGACAGGAAAATTCTTATATGCCAGTGGCTGGAAGGCGTGGGGCTGCAGGCACACCGGTTATTCTCGTTACAACATGGCGTAATATAAATGTTTGGAGGTTTCTGGTATTGCATTGAAGAAATAACCAACACTAATACTATTATGATGTGTTTAGCAGCTGACTGACAGCAAGACTCTGAACAACAATACAGAAACAACCTCTGAAAGTCTGGGCTGTGTGCTCTAGAATGATCGTGTTAATTAAGTCTCCACTGTCTGTCTCTGGAAAAATAGTATCATTAGATTGAAACTTTTATATTCTGTTGAGTTACAATAGTTTCGCCTTCCTGTCCAGTACCTGTACCACTGCCTTCACACGTCACACACTTTTAAATATGTTGAAAAATATATGATTCTTACTCTGAGCACCTGGTATCCTTCTGATCCCCCTCCAGGGAAACCAGAGCTGTGAGAGCCCCCCATGGTGCGGAGCCACCATAGACCATAAGCCTCTGTAATGCAGTATATGAACCGATATGAACGCGCTCTTCAGGGCTGACTGTCGCTGGCTCCTGCACCGGTACTTCCGCGGTACTTCCTAGATCCATGGGTACTTCAAGAGTATCAAGAGGCGGGATTCTTATATCACGAATCAGCCACTATTATAATGTGTTGATTCTACATTTTGTGAATGGCAGTAGGCCTATGTTTAATTTCGATTTTTTGTTATATTACTATTTATTTTCCAGAATTTGACAAGAGACCTAATCATCCGTGCAAATATTCATCACCTTTTTACATCTCAGAGAACAGCGCGTCAACAGGCTAAAGGAAAATCCACATACTGTGTCTTCCTCTAGTGGTGAGAATTGGAATTACAACAACAGAATGTCAGATCCAAATCATTTGATTGGGAATCACGTGGATTAGGTCAAATTCATGATTCTGTTTAATAGATCATGCTATAGTATCATTAAGGTCTAATTCTTTACCTTATATTGGTGATAAAATTCACACACAAAAATCTGTGTGGTTAGTGCCCCTCAGAATAATAATCATCATCATCATCGGCAAGGTAAGTTTATTTGTATAGCACAATAAATTTCATACACAAAGCAACTCAAAGTGCTTAACAAAACAAGCGCACAAATTAAAATAGAGGCTTAGAAGAAAGAGCTCAGTCGAAATCCTTCAGCACGGTGGCTGAGTGGATAGCACTCTTGCCTCTCAGCAAGAAGGTTCTAGGTTTAAATCCCGGTTAGAGCAGTTTGCATGTTCTCCACGTGTCTGCGTAGGTTTCCTCCGGGTGCTCCGGTTTCCCCTATACCACTAAAAACACGTGCAATGCACCTCCTGTACTGGTGACCTTGTTCCCATCATGTGGAGTGAGAGGAGCCCATACAAATAACAATTGTAAACCGCTTTGTGACTCTGGTCTGAGAAAGGCGGTATTTTATTTATTTATTTAAGGATAGCCCCATTGAGATAAACTATCTCTTTTTCAAGGGGGTCCTTTATCAAAGAAAATAATCAAATAAAATTAACAAATAAGATGGCTTACATCAGTAATACAAAACAAAGAAATGTAACAAGCGTAACTCAAACATAAATTATTAACAATTATATATATATATACACATATACTTACATACACACACATATAGTATATACATATATATATACATACATACATACCTACACATATACATACATATAAACACACAAATACATACATATACAATCATATACACACACATACATTAGTATATTGTATTTCATACACACACACACACAGCCACGTATCTTAATCCCAGAACCACGCATTTCACTCCGAATATCTTCATATATACATACACAATGTGCATATACACACACAAACACATATATACATAATTATGTATACATACACACATTATTACCAGGAGTTTAATCTTAATATTTAAGCTTTCCGCGTGCTGTATAAAGGGGGCTCACTCATTCACAATTTACAATGTTATAGAGCATTTTATATGGTCAGAAATTAGCATATACATGGTTTATTTAAATAGTCGTGCAATAGTGATCTATATAAATGAACAGATGTTGCTGCCCGAAGTTCAACTGGAAGATTATTCCAGTCATATGGGGCTTTACAACAAAACGCATTTTTGCCGACCTCCCTCTTCACCAGTGGAACTCTGAAATAGGGATGGAGTAAGTTTCAAAGAGAATGCTGAGATGTGAATGGAATAAAATATTGTTTTAAATAATCAGGAAGGTCATTATGGATACATTTATAAACTAAAGTTAACCAATGATACTGCCTCCTTTCTCTTGGTTTCAACCATTCCAATGAATTATACATTAGACAGTGATGAGTGCAGAAATGACAGTTTAGCACAAACCTGCAGAGTGAGTTCATTAAAACTGTCACAGGTTTCAGAACAGTGTCCGTTGTGTTTTGGTAAATTAGGTCTCCATAGTCAATGATCGGCAATATAAGTTGTTGTACTATTTTCTTTTTTACATCTTGCGTAAAGCAGTTATTAGACCTGTACAGCTGTCCAAGATAAGCATACACTTTTTTTGTAAGGTATTCGATATGCGGTTGAAAGGTTAATTCTGTGTCGATCCACATCCCCAGATATTTAAATGTATTTGTTCTTTCGAGTTTACTTCCGTCTGACAGATAGAAGGATACATTTTGTTGATTCGGACACATGTGTTTTGAAAAAAGCATGCTGAATGTTTTATTTTTGTTCATGATTAAGTTGTGCTGAACAAGCCAGAGCTGTATCAGGTTAAGATCCGTCTGAAGTGATTCTTGAATCTCAGCCAGACTTTTGTTAGAGGTATAAAACACTGTGTCGTCTGCATACAAGTGGATTTTACACTTAGTCATAATCTTAGGTAAGTCATTTATGTAGATTGAAAAAAGTAGTGGCCCAAGAGACGAGCCCTGTGGAACACCTCTATTTACTGTGGCCATTTCTGACGGTGTGCCTTGTACAGTGACACATTTTTTTCTACAATGTAAGTAGGAGTTAAACCAAAGTAAAACATTTCTGGAAGCACCTATTGAATAAAGTTTGTCCAGAAGAAGGTAATGATCAACTGTGTTGACAAATGCTTTTGTGAAGTCTATGAATATTGCTCCAGTTAGCTCCTGATTGTCAAAGGCAGAAAAAATGTCATTTGTGAGATTCAATAGCGCAGTTGTTGTTGAGTGATTTGCTCTGAAACCTGACACTGAGACAGAATGTTGTTATGCTCAATATATGAGGAAAATTGGTTAAATATAATCTTTTCAAATATCTTTTGGACTGTGCATATTATCGAGATTGGTCTGTAATTATTGATATCTGTTGGATTACCCCCTTTATGGACTGGTGTAACTCTGGCACACTTCCATATGGGTGGCAATGAGTTTGTTGAAAGGGACATGTTAAAGAGCTCTGCCAGGGGATGTGCCAGAACACTGTCTGCATATTTAAAAAATTTCGCTTCCAGTCCATCAGGCCCAGCACTTGTATTACATTTCATCTGGCGTATAACTTTGAGAACTTGATATGGCAAGATCGTTTTGAAATCAAAAATTTGCGATGGCGTTTCATTTTGAAATGCCATGTACCTGTAGGGTGTAGGGCATGCCTGTCCAATATTAGAAAAATGATTATTCAGGACACGAGATATCTGCTCAGGTTCAGAGAGACTTTCATTGTTGATACAAATCTCTTTTAATGAATTTTTATTATCACGATTTAAAAGTGTATTAAGGTATATAAATAAGGATTACTTACTACTTACTTATGCACAGCTAAACAGAGCTGTTTCAACCTGGATTTGAACATTGTCAGAGAAAAAGCCTGTCTCACATTTTCAACAAGACTTTTACAGATTTTAACTGCATGAATCTGAAATGCTGCCTCACCATGTTTAGTCTGACTCTGGCACCAGCAGGAAGCTAGTCCCTGCGCTCCTCAAGTTGGTTTATGTGGCACCAACATGTCACAGATGTACTTTGGTACAAAGCCATGGAGAGACTTGTACACAGGCAGAGCTGCTTTAAAGTCTATTCTCTGAGCCACAGGAAGCCAGTGCAGAGACCTGAGAACTGGACTAATGTGATGATACTTCCTCGTTCTAGTCAGGACTCAAATATTGAATATACTGCAGCTGTTTCATCATGAATAAAAGTAAGTACTAGACCATGAATAGACGTACTGAACTTTACATTTCTATATCCAATCTTCTGCAGCAGCTCGTTCTTTGCCTTTGCATATAGGGCTTAGAATAGAATAATTACAGATGGACAGCACCATATTTCAAAATGCATTTTCTTTACATTGCCTCCAGCTGCAGAGTCAGCTTCAGCCTTATCTTCACCAGATCACTTCTGGCAATACGCCTTTATTTATATCCAATTTGCTGCTCTTGATTCAGTCCTACTCTCCGCACAAAGCAGAGCAGAGAATAAAAGCGTGTGTCTGATGAGAGCCGGATATGCACAGATACCATCAGTTCTATAAACTAGGTGAGAGAAGGTTTGTATAGCATTAATGCAGAGGACCTTATCATATAATGTGTTCTCTGAATAAACCGCCATTGTTTATCCATCAGTCCTGTATCGCAGACTGTATATTGCAGAAATACTAACTGAGCAACAATATAATGTATTGCAATTCAACATCTCACATGATTCCATTTGTGTCCTGTAGCATTAAAATGAGACTGAACTAACTTTTAAAAACAGGTTGTCTATAACTGCAGTGATATTTAACGGAAAAGACACAGTCACACTAATAATATTCTTTCTTTTTACTTTAAGTCATTTTCCATAATCCCATAATCATCTGGAACAGCATTTGGAGGAAAACACACATATATATATATATATATATATAAATGTCTGCGCCATCGTTTTTATTGTTGTCGCTGAAATACACATTTGATATGATATAATTGCTCTAAGGGACAAAAGAATATCATGAACATAATTTGTGTGAGCAGGCTTGAATCTCCGCTTACCTGATTCCTTCTTGAAGCAAATCCAGGATTAACATCTATGATCTCAAAAAGAAGCCATTACAAAGATTTAAAGGCACCACATGCGGTTATATACGGGCACACAGGGCTGCAAGTGTTACATTCATTACTAATCTGCTATTTTTGGCATCATAAACTCCGCCTGACTTATTTATCGATCACAGGGCTACCACAGTTATCCCGGGCTTGAATTATTCTTGTTCCAACAAATCTTTACAAGTCGTTATTTACTACAAATACATGAAATGCGTTTGTGCAATGACACTCGGCTCTCTCAGGCAGCAGATAATAAACTCTATTTCTGCTCCGGGTTGCTGACTCCTCCAAACCTTCACATCGCTGCTCCTTTTCTCTATGATGTACCAAAAAAGCAGGCTCAGATTTATGCCTGTGGTGGTTTGGATTCTGCTGCACACACTTCACCTTTCACTTCCATAAATATTTAGACTGTTGTCATG